TTTCATTGTTATCTGCTATCGCCGTATCAATCGGTGTGCCATAACTGCATTTTGGTTTTCTCAGTTTCCGTACAGTTCAGTTTTTTCCCTTTTGCTCCTTTTGCTTATCAATTTTCTGCAAATCTGGGCTTTGTTAGGGTCGTCTCTTGCTGTATCTTCTGTCATGTGTTCTCGAAGGATTCGCAAGGATTAAACGCACTCAGGCCCAATGATGGCAATCTCATTTGTTTGCGACAATTGTTCGATGGATTGATGCTGATGTTCCGATCGTTTGAGCAAAAACTGTTTGCCTTGTGGCCTATGAAATTGTATCTGATGTTTATCTAAGGGGAATGAAAAACTGGGGAATGGGAATGGCTTCAATGCTTCAGTTCTTCAGTCCCTTAGTCCCAAGCGGTAGGAAAAACACGACCGAAATTCGAATGATTTTCCTCGTCTTTTTCTGCGTTTTGATTAACATTAATGAGCAACAAAAAGTGCAAAAATTTACATGGCAACGAACGTCTTTCAGTCTTTCCGTCTTTTCACCTCAACTCTCCCCCAATTGTTGCTTGAGTCTTTACAAAATTTTCCATTCAAAATGAGAAGCGTGACAGGAGTATGTGTGGATGTTTCCCCCATGCTCTCGACTCGGCAACCTATCCAGCCCCCAACCAACAATAGCGATTTAGGCATTAGAGCTCCATTGAAATTCTTTTCGTTTCGATTGTTGTTTCTTTTTGCCGCTGCTCAACAAGATGGCAAATCCCTCATCAGGTTGTTCATCATATTATCTTGTATTTTTATTTTTATTTTCATTTTTATTTGTATTTTAGTTGCAGTCAGTCACTCAGTCTGTCAGTCAAAGTCCACCATTGTCAGCGCTTTTTGTCTAACTACTCATTAACATTTATTTGCAAGTGCAGAGAATGCAATGGCAAATGCAAATGCAAAAGCTAAAGCAACTGCCATGATAAATATGACAAACAGACAATGGCCAGATAGACAAACAGAAAACAGAGACAGACACAGGCACAGGCATACACACAGGCAAAATGCATTGCGAAAAAATGGGCAGAGAGATGTGGGAGTTGGCAGAGAAGAACTCTGGTCGAAAAGAACGATGCCAGGGAAATGGGGAACATCGAATGCTCTAGCAAAGAAGGCATTTTGGGTAGCATTTCGTGCGAGAATCGAATGGGAAGCAGCCAGGATGAAAACCATTTTCTGATGGTGTTTAGCTTTCTTGGTCACCAATTCACAGATATGTGATCGAAATCTTTACAGATCAGAGTCAAGAAGCGTATAATAACATAGTAGGAATTGCGTCATTTGTTCACAGGACATCCTTCTTCGAAAGACAAGGCTTCTTATTTATTTGAAGATTTGAATGGGTCTGGCCTCACGAATCTCAGCACATTTTTCTGTATAGCATCGGATATTTTTTGATTTTCGTCGAGGTGTTTGCTTTTGAGTCTTATGTTTTATTGCAGTATCCGTCATCACCTTGGAACACCTCAGTGTTTCGGCATTTCTCCGGCACGAAAATCAATGCCATCCCATCCCTAATATCTTAACTTTGTTTTATGGATGTACTTATATCTTAAACTTAAAACCAAACAATTATTAGAAAGACGGTTTATTATGAAATATGATATGCTTTAAGTGTGTTTCCACATAATCTTTTGCACAGTACATACTATGTTGAAATTCTCATATCCCTTTTGATTCACTGACATGTTGAGGATCTAACAAACCCTTTCCCATAGCCATAAGAGCCATTTTGGGCATTCAGGTGGGTGCAGTGTATAATTACAATGGCCGACTAACAGAGAAAGAGAGACTAACAGACATAGACACAGGCACAGAGAAAAGCGAACGAGAACGAGACATTGCCAAAGACAATGGATAGAGCCAAGTACAACAGAAAAACAGAGAACGAAAGAGAAAGAGAGTGGGAGAAGGAGATGGAGACCGACGAGAACCGGGTCCAAATAAATAGAACAGTTGCAGTCCACCCAACCAGGCTTGCATCCATCCATCCAACCATCCATCTATCCATCCATCCATCCATCCATCCATCCATCCATCCGTCAGTCGCCGAGCTAGGAGAAGAGTTGGAAAAATGTGCCCCATTGTCTTCAACTTGCAATTGTTGACTGACAATTGGCAAAAAGACAGCCAGCATTTGCCATCTCTCCCATTGGCAGATTCTCTAGCACCATTTTTCGTATGAGATAAGCTTAGGTCATTAGAGTCAAATTAAATTAGAGTGTTTGCAGGTACTTTTTATGCGCTTTATGACTGGTATACCAAGTCTGTTTGTATTTGTCATTAGTTTGTTGTTAATTAAAATGAAACCCAAGTGCCAGACGACAAAACTCGACTCGACAAAATGAATGGAAATCAAAATGCGCTAAAAACCGCCCCAAAAACAATGGCAACACCTGCGTTACGAGTATGCTCCTGCCTGTCCAGGACCCAGGACCCAGTCACTCACACAAAAAGCTCTGAAACAATGCGGACAAAATGCGAGTGGTGGAGTCAGGAGTGGAGTGCCGGAGTGGTTGTTGTCGTGGCAACACCACCAACACCAAAGGAAATTGACACAACAATATTCTAGACATGGCAAATGCAATAGTACTCGTAGATCCCTTCTGAAGGGGTAAATTCTGCGGTGCCATGATACAAAGCTGAAGCAAGTCCTGCAGAGAGCTGAAAAGTTTGACAGTGGGGGCTCGGAAATATACATATACATACAGACATGTACATAGATCCTATGATTTTTCCGAAATTTAACTTCACTTAAAAAAGTAAATGGGACCCATTTTTGATTGATATACATACATGCATATATCTACAATTTTTCCTCTCATGCTTAATAATTTTTTAAAATACTTTGGGAACTATTCAGCTCAATCAATTTAATCAAAAATCTCACAACGCCATCAGTTTGATCTTCTTGGAAACAGTGCCTTTCCTCCTTTTAGATATATCTGTAATAAAACATAATGCAACCACACATGGGCTAATTTCTATCAAATACTACATGTAAAAGTATGTAAGAACTATCCATAAAACTGTAAAACAAAATTTACATACCATACTTGTACTTCTGTAGGTACGGTAGGTACCCTCAATGTTCTCTGCCTGTTAAATTTGGTACCTTAAAATTCTAGAAATTAGCCAAGGAACACCTTCAGAACGAAGGCAATGTCAATGCTGGGGCAAGATGTCACCATCAGTGTTCTGTTCAATGCTCAGAAATGAATGTCCATTAAGATTAGTTGATTTTGCTTTCGATAGTTTGTTTTTTTTCATCCTCTTCTTTTTTTGAGAACGGTAAATAGTCGACAAACACCACCCAAAAAGCTCACTCCCAATGGTGGGACACGACATCCCCTTCCACAACGCCACCCCACTATCGCTGCCTGGCCTCCCCTCGGTTCAGTTCCATGTAATCCGAAACCTTCCCCAACCAGAAGCATTCGAATTGGAAACGCCCACCGTGGGCCAGGCCAAGCCGGATCCAGTTAGCTTCTGTCTTATAGAGTGCAATGGCTATAGTCGCCATGCTGGGCTGATAGAGTGGTCCCACTCGCACGCCAACGCAACACCTGCTCGTGCTTGTCGCCCTCCCTCTGGAGCTCTCGCTCGCTCTCTGTCTCTTTCCTTGACTCTCCGGCTTTGCTTGTCCCTGTCTCTCTTCTGGTTTGGGTCTTTTTAGCCGTTTTACATTTTTTATTTTGTGTTATTTTTTCTTTACCGAAATGTCACCTGGCTGCCTGACACTCTCTCTCGCTCTCTCACTAATACCAGCATGCAAATGTTGCTCTCTTTAGTGAGCTGTTCTTATCATTCAGATTCCTCTATGAAGAGTTCGTATCAAACCAATAAGAAAGAAAGCTTTGGAAGCGAAAAAAGTTGTTCCGAGCTGGCGAGGGAGCAAGAGAGAGAGAGAGAGAGAGCACAAGCTTTGAGCGGAGCCAAAGTTTCGCTTTTCTGAGAGGATTTTGTCGTGCCTGCTTAGGTAGATGTGGATGTGTGTGCCTATGTATGTGTGTGTTGAGCAAAAACGTTACATAGACGGCGATGCAGCAGCAGCAGCACCAGCACCACCAGCAGCAGCTGTCGCCGAACAGAGACCCCACTCTGCCCCAGTCCGATCCCCTCTTGGCCAATGCCTATGCCGGGGCCGTGACTCGTTTTTGGCTCGTGTGGGCTAAGAGAGCGCGCGCCAAGTTTTTAGTTACGCGTCGGAACGTATCCGTTGAATAGCCGCCAAAGCGCGCTTAGATGCAGCAACTGGCCAAGAGCCATCGACCAGCAACGGCAACAGCAACAGAAGCAGCGCCAGCAGCGACGGTTAAAGCCCCTCGCAAAAAACATATATTGTATAAAAAAAATAACAGCAAACTTCAAGAAATTTTCATAATTTTGCTAACTTATTTTCAGTGTTTATAACGTGTTTTTTTTTGTTATACTTAACACGAAATTCCCATAATTTCCATTAAAACTTAATCCTAACAGTGGTCTCTGCATACGAAAAAAACCCCAAACAATATAAGGTTTTATGTTCACTAAAGTGCTCCTCATCAAAACAAACCCAAATAAAAATCGAACAGAACACACATAGTCGTGAAATCCTAAGCTACTTTTTTTTCTCGTTAAACTTCAAATCAAACAAACTTCATTCTTCAAAGAATCGAGTTCCCCAGTATAACAATAACCAGAAGAAGACGATCCATAAGTATCTTATCAATGAATGGAAAGCAAACAGCACACAAATCAACATAAACTAGTGATATCCCATATGTAAAGTGTTCGACAAACAGATTCGGTTACGAAACAGAAACAACAGAAACAGCTCAAGATCATAAAAGTCTACAAATTCAATATTTTATGGCATGTCAGAGAGAGTGGAATCTATAAACAACAACAAAAAACCATAAACAAATATTAACCAGATGATTTGGTAGTATATACATACATATATACATATGTACATGTATTCTGTGTATATGGTGGCATCGATTGCTTGATTCACATCGCCGGAAAAGCGGGAAATACAAAGGAAATGCAGACCTTTCCAAGGTAAGACTGCGCTTGATTTGTAAGGTATTATAAAAATAAAGGACGGATACATAACCAAACTAACGAGTAATTAGTATATATGTAGGCCAGGGACTAAGGCAACCAGACATCGCCCTTGTGACTTAGAAAGAATAAAAGAATTTCAGAGAAACTCACTTTAGAAACTTAAAAGCGATTTGATTGCTCAGATTTTAGTATATGATCTCTGCATCAACCAAAAATCTCATAGAAGAAAACCCATCCCTTCGTACAAAAAATCGATTAAACATGCTCCTTAAAAGAAGGGATCTAGATCGATTTCTTCATATATATGTACAAGAATCAAAACACTTCTTACTCAGCAATGACCCGAAGGAACTAGATTAATTAAATGATTGCTTTTCACCAGCACAAGGTATCATGTATCGTATCTCGAGTGGTGAACGCGTAACATTCCTTACTATCGAACCGTCGTAACTATATTCGGCTCGCACCAAAAAACAAATCCTCAAATTGGTATAATTCTTCGTAAAAGGGTAGTATTTGAGCTATATTCATGATGTTTTATTAGCGTGGGTATTTTCGAGTGCCTATTTTAATCGATATGTCAGTTATCGATATAAGCCAACAGCAGTGCATCGTGCATCAAGAAAAGGGATCGTATTATTTTTATAATCCATTTCTGTAAATCTGATGCATTAATTCACCAGCATTACCGTAAGAAACTATCCCTGATCCCACCCATTGCTTAATCTGAACCAAATCACAAATACATCAAATTCTTTTCGAAGCTTACAGAATTTGCATAGCTCAAACCACTTTGGTGAAATCCAAATAAATCCATACTGGCATCGGAGCTCGTATAATTAAAAAGATATCAAATTTGTTGTTCTTTTTCCGCTTCTCTAAGGTATGATTTAATTCTGAAATTAAAATCTTTGTATGACCATCAATTAGGTAAACATTGAACATGGAGAGATTACCATACAAGCAGAATCAACAGATTTCATTGTTTGGATAATTTCAGGATTTTCCTCTTTTCTTTTTCTGCTACATCATGGTCGGTATCTTTGTGGCTCCACTCGACTGATGTTTACTTTTGCTTTCGATCTTCCACTTGAATTAAATCAAGTTCTCTTGCTGCCCTCGAAGGGAATCGAAGCATCCACAGCTGTTTGGTTAACTTAATTTTTGATGGGGTATCTCAAGCAACCCAAACAACTGTGTATAACCCAAAAACTATGTTAAGGAATGTTCAAAGTCAAAAACCCCAGAGAAATGGAATGACGCAATTAGAGCCAATAATAGAAAGAAAATATGTTTGTATGTGTATTAATATTTGCACAAAATTTTAGGAAAAAAAATTGGCCAGAAGAATTGAATGTGACGTCCCTTGTGACGCTTCCTTCGACTTTGGAACTATGGAATTGTGGAACTGTAGAGCAAACAAGAACAAGAAAAACTTATTAGGGAATGAGAAAGAGAAAGAGGGTAAAGGCAATATCCATATGATGGGAGGACAAACACAATTGTGCAAATAGAATTTTGTGAAATTATTTTGCGTCTCTTATCGAAGCCAAATAATTGCGAGCGGAACAGATGTTATGCGAGTCCCATTGTCTGGGCCACCTATTTATTCAATAACATTAATTCACATATATTTTAGACGAGAGCTGGTTTTGGCCGGCCAAGAATTCTAATTAATATTCGGTTGTACTCGAATCCGTATCAGTATCTTCATTGCCCTTGGCACGAACTTGACACTGAACCAGAGCCATAGCCACAAGAGAGGGAGAGGTGGGTAGGGCAGGGAAACGATGGTAGGAATCGAGGTAGGGAGAGATACATTTACGAGGCGATTGTTGCGAGTGTGAAAGTTCTTAATTACAAACATTAGGGGGCCCAGCGGCTTAGGGCCCCAGCAGAAGACCGGGCCCAGCAGGCGGCCAAGAGACACTTTTGAATGGAGGGACTGTGGGATTGGGAATTGGTACCGAATGGGAATGGCCACGATGCGATACATTTCAACACAAAGTGGAGACACTTAAAGCTCTACCTGTATTGAGATTCTCCGACTGCGGAGACTCCGCGACTCCTCTTGGGGCAAAGCAGCGAACGAGCTCCTCTTCCAGCTCGGCTCAGCATGTGGCTAAGCCGATCATAATTCTTGTTTGACACACCAACAAACGGATGAACAAATGAACGAGAAGCAGCTACAACAAGGCATGCCTGGTGGATGGGGGATGGGGCATGGGGGATGGGGGGTTGTGGATGGAGGATAGCCCCCGAAACTCAAGTGGCCATCGGGTTAATTTTTACTCCTACTGAGATACGAAAAAAAGAGGAGGAAAAAAAGATCTCCATATGAAAGGCCAGACATAAAATATCTGCTGGGTTATCTATTAAGGCCACTAGATTAACACCCAAGGAATGTATGCAGTGCTCTGCAGGCCCACGCTATAACCGCTTAACGGTTACGTTTCCGTTACAAAAAAAATATCAGATATATATTTTATGTATATGTAGATATACATATACTCGTAAGAAGACGATTAAATAAAAGAAGAAGCTCTTTGGCTTGCCATATTCACAGCAAATAAAAATATCTGGAGTGCAATTTGTGCACAGCTGGTGGTGCAACCGTCGCCTCAGATGGTGGCCCTGTGGTGCACCACTGCACCACCAACTGCAACTGCAACTGCAACAAACAGAAAAGAAAAGGGAAGAGAAACGATACGATGCGATACGATACGAAATGAAAAGAAAAGAAGGCAACTTGACAACACAGAAATTTGTTTGCACTCCATAAGGATTACAAATGCGAGCCATGCGTGTCCCAAGGCTCCCCTTCCTGCAGCTCCTACTTCTGCTCCTCTTTTTCTCGTTTTTAAATAAATTTCATGCTTAATACGCATGCCTGGGCAATTTTTACTTTAACACCACGCGGTAATGCCCGGAAGCAGTGCAGATGTCGCCTCGCATAGCCCAACACAAGTTATTGACCACGAAGCTGTTCATGGGCCAAGAATGCAAATGAACAGAGCTGAACAGAAAGAGAAAAAAACACAGAGAAAGGGTCAGAGAGAGCGAGAGAGAGGGAAAGCTAGAGAAATGGTAGGCGCAATCCGACACCAAGAGAAAACAACAGAGTCGGACAGATAAAGATGAATGGTCCATGGTCACTTGACCAGTTAATTGTCGTACAGTCTGCGGTAGCCATGCTCGTCTGTGCTCGTATGTTGTGCAGACGGGGCTGGAATGGCTTGAATTCGGTAAAAACAAGAGAATAATGATTTATTCCACGGCTGAAAACTGTAATACCCGTGCAAATCGATCGATTTTTGACAAATAAAAACAAAATTTTGCACAGAGAATAGATTTCCACCGTTTATTACTGTGTGAGGTGAATGATATTGTTTTCTGATCTAGCGTGTTCTTACTGCGTAAAATACAAATAAGAGTGTTCAAAATAATTAGGGCTAGAAAGGCAAGGTACGTTATATCTGAGCAATGGTATAGGCATAACTTTAAAGCTGATGCACATTTTCTGCAAAGAAGATAAACTGGGGAAAATATACAGATAATAATACGTGTGCTGGCTTTTATATTCGTAGCCTTATATTAAAGGACCAACAAGAAAACCTTGAAAATGAGTTCACTGTTTTTAAAAATATTCTCCAGGAAGATGAAAACGCATTTTGAAATGTTTTAACCTATTTTCGTAGTTATTTTGGAACTCTGAAGGAAGTATCTGTAAAATAAAGCTTAATCAGCTTCATTCGGCAACGAAAATCGTTGACCACTCAATTTTTTGTTAATACCGAGGAACAAAAAGATGGCATTATGTGTCTTCAAGTCAGATTACCACATGATTCGATATTTTGGGTGGTATTCTTCGGATTGCCAAAGGAAAGATCTATCCGTGTTTGGAGGTTGGTTTCCCCAATTCTTCATAAACTTCCGCCCAAAAAATGGTTGTTTACCACCCACAAATGAGCTTCCTTCTTTTCTCTATTGACATTTGCGACATGACCAATTGTCGTTGACCAAAGCCGTTCCAAAACAAAAGAACGGGCCACCATTTGGCTTGAAAAGGATCCTCGATACAATCATGTAGTCATTTGATTCGCTTTAAAACACTCATGAGCACTGCTGCTGTTGTTTTTCGGAATCAAATTGATATATCTATGATTCGTCAGCAGTTGCGATGTTAAAATCGTGATTTGAGCTACCGTGGCTGTATTTAATAGTGAATGTCAAATTATTATCTAATTATCTAATACCCAAAGACACTTCTTTCTCATGGCGTGTCATATGACGACACTGCCATAGCCAATTCCGCAAAGAATCTACTCTTTCCGTTTTACCAGTCTTTCGCAGTGCCAATGCACATGCACGGTAATCCAATACCAAAAGTTTAACCAAGTTGATCGAGGCATTATTGTCTTGAAAATCCACGTCGAAAATCTTTGAAAATCATGACAAGGAACTTTGCACATGTTAGCTCCATTTTTCCCCAAAGATTAATTATAAGCTTATCGTTAAATGATATAAGACTCGACCATAGTGGAAGTGGTGCTTTAGACCTGGACATAATAAATACAGCCAAGGCAGCCTCAGTATACATATGATATAAGATAGATTTAGGTCGTCGTAGTCGTCTGAAATATTATTTTAGCGGGGCGCTTGCTCCCTAGTAAATCAATAATATGAGTAAAACATAAATGAAACTCTTTTACATGTTTACAGCAGTACTTCCAATACTTGAAGATAATATTATATATTTGGCACAGCTTATTAGCAAAAATCCAACTTATTTATGTACATATTATGTATCGTATCGTTTATAAACCTGCTCCATAATAAACGGCAATTAAAATGGAAGCTTGAACAGTTGAGTTTATTTTCAAGTATTTAATATTCGAAACAATAATAATAAAATTCGCAAAATAAAGAAAATTGAAACAGTCAGTCATCGCTACTTAATAAAAGAATGTTTTTTAATTTAGGTTTATCTTCACAGGAACTCACACAGGAGTATTCCTCAATGTGTTGACTTGCTAGCCAACTTAATTGCTTGGAAATGTCGCTGCCGAAATGGACAGCCAACCTTATCCTTCCAGCTCCAGCTCGGACCATTCTCTGGTCTCCTTTCTATGCAAATATCCACTGCAGATGACACATTTGCCGGGGATAATGCGAGCCAAAGAGCAAGGCATACGAGTTTAGAGCGGGCCATCGAATGAGTGCTCACATGTGGCATATGTCCTCGGCACGCCCGCACTCGATTGTACTCGAGATACGCTCCGAATTCGTATTCGAATCTGAATCCGAAAGGGACCATTAAACAAATTGAAAGCGTTTAGCCGGACGCTGGCTTCTTGACCCTTTTCCTCTCCCACTCCCACCTCACCGCATTTAACACATTAAGGAAGGAGCGGGGCATCAAGTGGACCACGTAAATCCCGCTTATAATGCACGCACATGTGGAATTGAAAAGCCCTAAAAGTGAAGCCTATCAACGCTCCCCATCCCCCAGCCGCTTCTCACCCATGTCCAAAACAAGCTGCTTGGGTGGAAAAATAAAATACAAAAAGTAAAATGGGAAAGAAATGGTTTTCAAGTGCCCCGTCGCATAATGAAAAGGATGGACGACGTCGTCTCCGTCTCCGTTGTCGGTGTCGCTGTCGCTGTCGCTGTGTTGTTGTTGCTGTAGCTGTTGATGCCGCATGCATCCCACACGGCTTTAAGGGTTGACATTTGGCCCGGACAATGGACGAGTGGAAAGGTTTCGCATCCAATTTCGGTCGAGTTGAGGTGGCAACCGCCAGCGCGGCTCGCAAGTGGCTCTGGGGCAGGTCCCGGTCCATTGCCATTGCCATTGCCATTCCGCCGGGCCATTCCGCATTGTTTCTCTGTCTCCGAAGAATGGGCACAGACGACATACTTTTAAAAGCTCAAATCAATTAGTTAATTGATTAACAAAGATTCCAGGGGCAACTGGTTGGGTTCTTGCTTGGCCAAACAGGAATATACTAATTATAAATGACTGAAAGTGGAAGGAGGTGGAATATAGTGGGAAATTAAACCATTGTTTAACAAGCAATGGATGATAATTTCTGATGATTAAAGTTTGGCCTCCATCCAGTTACAGTGGCCACACGGGGCGAATACTTCATAAGAACGATTCATAATATCTGCGTAGGAGGAATACTAACCGAATCTTTCCATTTCCTCAGCTCAAGACATCAACTTTGCCACATCACCTCTGACACCAGTTCCGGGAGTAACCAGACACACAGCACCCACAGAGAGCCCCCAGCTCCATCTGCGATATGATGGAACGTCTATCCACACACCTGTCGCTCACCGGCCTATCGCTAGCCCATCCACTTCAGAGTCACCTGAGCTCCGTGAGCTCCGGCAGCGGATCGCACCACCTCGGACAACTGGCAGCGGCCGTCCAGCAGCACCACCAGCAGGCCGATCAGAGCCACACCCACGCCCACCACCTGCACGGTCAGCAGTTGGCGCTGGGCCATCAGCACCAGCAATCGCAGCAGCAGCACCATCAGTGCAGCAGCAACAGCAGCAACGGCTCGCCGAACGGATCGAGTGGTTTGAGCGGCCTGCATCCCCACTCGGCCCTGCATCTGGCCCACCACCACTCCCAGCTGCACCAACACCATCAGGCAGGACAGCAGCAGCAGCAACAGCAGCAGACATCGTCCTCCCACAGTCAGCCGGCGGTGTCGTCTGCCTCGTCCCACCACAGCCACAGCCACAGCCAGGCTCAGTCGTTGCACCAGCCCCACAGTAACGGCAGCTCGCACCTGTCTGCAGGTGGGGCTGCCTCTGGTAGCAATCACCACAGCAGTGCCGCACACCACGGATCCGCGTCCAGTGCATCGAGCAGCGTGATGGCCGCCGCAGCCGCCGCCCATCTGCACCACAACTCACAGGCCTCGCCCATCAGCAACCTGCACCAGAATATGGGCACCCTCATGAACAGTGGCAGCAGCGCCAGGTGAGCGAATGGATGGTGATGGGATGGGGATGGGATGGAATGGGGACACAGACTCCATTGCGGAATGGGGAGGCCAGACAAACAACTAATTTCAATTTCAATCATTTCCCAGCGATGTATTCTTCAGCCTGATGATCCAGAACACAACGAAGCGCCAGAACGAGGAGCACATCAAACGTCCGATGAATGCTTTTATGGTCTGGTCGCGTCTGCAGCGGCGTAAAATAGCTCAGGATAATCCCAAAATGCATAACTCTGAGATATCCAAGAGGCTGGGTAAGTAATATCTAACGATGAGTCCATTCAACATGATACTCGTAGAAGATATTGCAGCTAGTTGAATTTACGATGAAAGTAGTTGAGGCTAGTATAGTATTACATTAAAAGTCCTTCAACTCATTGGAATTTTATCGCTTGTATTCCTTCAGAACAAGTACCATTCTCCTCAACCAATGGATAGTTTTGTCGTGCCCGCTTCAAAGCTGTTATTTCCAGAATAAACAAACTATGCATTCATATCACAAGCTAAGCTCACTTCAACTTCGCTTCTTTATTGTTGTTGTTGTTGTTGTTGTTGTGTGTAACACAAACCACAAAAATCTCGGCTATCTGGTGGCAACATTTTGCCCTCGAAATGGATATAATCTGAAGACAAAGGATGAGGCAATACAAAACGAAATTAAAATGCGGCACACGACCTGCCAATCTCTCGCACCCACTCACCATGGAATGGTCTCTCTCGCTCCATCTTCCTGCCTCTCTTTCTCTTTATCTGTATGTGTATCTGTATCTGTATGTCTATGTGTATGTGTCGACCTCTTATGCAAGTTAAACTAATCAACGTAATACTGTACTGTACAATGACAATGACAAACCAAAAAAAAACTCCCGCCTTAACTCCGGTACTCAGCGCAACTGTCAAAAGTGACAAGCGGCTGTCAAACAATGGAGCAGGAAGAGCGGCAGCACACACCAGCCACGAGGAGGAAGCTGTTGATTATGGCTGGAAGAAGGGGTTCGGCTTGTGCTTGGGCTTGTGTTTGGGATTTGGATTCCCGCAAGTTGAGTATGCCACCCACCCGCTTAGGTTTGCCAAATCACGGCCCTGGCCTCTTGAGGGCTTTGTCTCGCCCCGCTTAACTAGTTGCAAAGTTAAGTAGTTTATTCTTCGGATCGGGAGAGAGGGGGGAGAGCTAATCCCGGGCTGGTCTTATCGTGTCTTGGGTCTTGGGTCTTTGGGCGTGCATTTTTCGGGCAGTAAATTCAATTTCAATCCGACACGTGGCAAGTGACAGGCAGGCGAGTTCTTTAGCATAACAATGCCTGTGCCTAGACTACCTTTTTCGATCAGCTCATGCATATTATATGAGAATCGAATCGAATCTGGACTGGTCTGGTCGGGTCGGGTCGGGGCTGGTCTGGAAGGGAATGAAGGGGAAGGAAACACTAATCAGTTCTGTGGGTGCTGTCATAACAGCGATAGCAATAATCAAACTCATCCTCATCGTCATCGACCTCATCTTGGATCATTTTTCTGCAAAAATTTGTATAATAAAACTCCACGCCGGGTGCCCGTCTCTCTTCTCAATTCCCCACTGAAGCACTTGTTAAATGACTTTTTCTTGCATTTTTATTTAACCATTGTTCGGGCCAAAACAAAAGCAAATTAAATGCGACTCACTTGCCATTCAGTTGAGCGAACCAAAGAGCAACAGCGGCAGAAAATTCGCTGCACTTGAAGGACTCAAACAAAAGGGGTTGGCTCTGGCTCCTTTCAGCCAAATAGCTTTTTCGACTTGGGGCCGGGCCCGCTCCGATTCCCCTTATCTAAGGGTTCACGTAAACATATCGATGAGAAAAAGAAAACTTAAATACAATTTAGGAAGCAAACTTGAGTTTCGAATTATTTTCGATTTTTCTTGTGTTCGGCTGAAAGCTTTGTTGGCTCTTCACATTTTCCTTTTTATTCTGCTTTTTTGGCAAGTCCATTATGCGAATTGACAGTTCCCTCTCCCTCTCTCCCTCTTGCTCTTCCTCTCGTTCTCCCTCTTCTTCACTGTGTAATATTTGCTGTCAGTTGCAGTCTTTGTTAAGTTTGTTTAGAGAGAAAGAGAGAGGACTAATGGGAGGGGTGCTGCCAAAATTCTTTTGTGGCAAAGGTGGAAAAGTGGGACGGAGTGGGACTGGGACAGAACTGGATTGGCATCAACAAGGTTTGACAACAAAAAAGTATCCCAAATTTTAAAGATTGTTTTTTATGCGTTACACAGTTCTCCAACGAGCACATATGTACATACATACATAAATGTAGGTACATACTCGTATATTCGAAAGCTCTCAAATATTTCCAGAAATATTGATAGCTTCCCAATGAACGAATAAACCATACAAAATCTTGAACGTAGACACATATTGGATGAATAGATACATTTCTAACTGTAATGTTTGGAATGGAAATACTTCTTTCACAAAAGTAAAATTTTTGTAGCGCTCAAAAAAAAAACATCCTTTCTTCCTTTACCACCTTTCTCTGGTCTCTCCATTCACCTGCTTTCACTCAACTTGGCACTTCTTCTATGCCATTAATAATGTCGAGGAGAATTTTCAAAACTTTCATTACACCACAAAACCGAAACAACAATTTATTAAATCAGCAAAATAATGGGAATATAAAAAAAGAAAGCAAAGGCAAACATTTGCCACATTTACACAAAATGTCAGAGTTTTTAGCACTTGAGAAAAGTTGAGCCAGCATTCAATTAAATGAATAATTCAGCGGCAACAAAAGCAACAAAAAATTGTGCTCATTATGAGAAAAATTGCCAAACAGAAAAAGGCACAAAAGTGGGCGGAAAAGGAGGAAGTGGAAAAAACTGTGGCATAGACAAAGGCGCCACAAAAAATGGCGGCGCGAAAGCTACTTTTTCACCACACACACATACACAGGGCAGAAAGGGACAGAGATAACGAGTGTGTGTGTGTGTGTGTTTGTGTATGGGAGAGACAGGGTGTGCGTGTGATAGAGAAAGAGAGACAGAGAGAGAGAGAGAGCGAGAAGGACTGGCAACTGTGGAGAGGCCTCTTCAGGCTCGGCCTCCGACGCCGTTACCGTCACCGCCACCGTTTGCCGCCGGCGATGCCATTTATTTTATTATACAAAACAGAAACAAAAACAGAGCCCAACAAAAGATGCAACAAAAACGGGGCAGAATGCGAAAAAAAACACTGTGAATGAGATGGAAAAAACTTCAACAACGAAGTGAATGTTATAGAAAACAATTCTGTGTTGCGCCCGGGCTTAATTGAAATTGTAACTGTCATTAATTACTGTCTGGAAATTTGAATTACCAACAAAAGCAAGAACAGCGGCAGCAGCAGCAACAGCAACAAAAGGCGACAACAGCAATAACAACAATCAGATCTTTTCGGAAAATCTACCTTAAATATAGATTTGGAAGGTATAACTCCAGAGTTATTTCTTTTTTCTTTAAAATAAGGGACACATCGGATATAGTCGAATCCCACCGTAGACTCCAAGGGAAATATTGAAATATTTGTTAGAAAACCTTGAAAAACTGATAACTGATCTGGTATAAATTTAATAAAAATAAAATGGCATATGTAGAATCGATCGATTTCCCAGGGTATCAAAAGCTTGTTCCTCCTTTCCTTTTCATTGACGAACTGTTTTTTGTTTTTGTTTTCATTTTCTTTGCTTTTTTTATTTCAACAATAATTGAAAAACCTGTCGAATCAGCAATCTTCTTTATTTTTAATCAAAGCTGCTGCTCCTTCATTCGTTGCGTGGCGTTGCTGTTCCTGCGGGAATATTAAATAATGCCAGACAAAGCAAAAGGAGAGCTAGATGAATGAACAGTTAGACTGACTGAACGACTGAATGAATGAATGAATGAATGACTGACTGAACGAAACGGAACGGAACAATGGCATACTCGTGGAAGAAGAAGAGACTTGGCTTGGGACGCACAAAAGGTTGAACTCAAGCCTTTTTGCCCCCTCCGCTGGTCCATCGAGAACCTTTTGTTGCACAATAAAATGCAAACAATTGATTAGTTTGCAATTGGAAAAGCTTTCGAAGAAAAGAAAAGAGGTCTCTGGGGGGGTGGGTGAGTGGGCGAGTGGGCGTGAAGGTTACGCCGCTGCCTTTGCAATTGACAGGTGTGTGGCTGTGTGTGGATTTGTGTCTGTGGGGCTGTATGCAAACGGTACACTCTTAATTACAGTACGCTCAATCAAGAGCAAGAACAAGCGGAAAAAAGGGGCAATTTTTTTCAATGGGACCAGTCATGACCAGAATCAATATGCGCCGAAGGGTTAGTCAATTTGGTCCGTTTACCTAGAATATATAAATGGACTACAAATATTGAAAATAATTTTATTTATTTATGGAGGTACCTAATATATATTTAAATTTGAATAAGGAAATATAATCCACATATGTAGGCAGTAATGTAACATATCCTGTTCTATCCTGTTTTCAAATCTATTCGTAGACCCATCCTATTTTGTAAAGTTAGTTATTTTTCAGCCTAATGAGTAACATACGAGTATTCCCATTATCCCCGCATTTACCAAGATATTAACCTTTCGTCTCGCATTTCTGCCACACAAAAGCCAAGCAAATAAAACAAATTTCGACTGGTCGAGAAACAGAAGGAGGGAAAACTCCCAGCGCCCTCAAAGCATTAAATTGCTGGACAAACAATTTAATCTCTGGCCATGTTATGAGTGGGCCCCGAACAGAACAGAACCGAACAGAACAGAACAGAACAGAACAGAAGCAAAGTAATCCCATAAGTGGCCCGACTGTGTCCCAATGTGTGAATGGGGGACAGGAACGTGGAACGTTGACCAACTACTCGTATGTGAAAATTGTTGCTGCAGACCCCAAACACACTCGTAAACTGTAAATTGCAACTGGAGCCGGTGGCGGTTAAATATTTGCTCTGTGGGTTAACGTACAGCATTTTCCAGGCCGGAAAAACTTGTTAATTGTACCAGAATTGTACCAGAAACAGCCTCAGTAAGGTTGCAACATCTTGCTACTTATACTCGTTGCTTGTTTTTCCTATCAATTATTACGCCAGGGATAGATAGGGAGAGACTGAGACTCCTCCCCGTCTACAGCTTTCTTTGTGCAGTGTTTGGTCAAGGGGCGCCAACATCATAGACATTGGACAAACATAGACATTGTCATTGTCATCCTTTTGTGGGCTTACTCGTAGTTTATTCAACTGCTCAACTTGTAGATGTTTTCCCTGCTGTCCGTCCCCTCTGACTCTGACTCTGCCTCTGCCTCTTCCTCTGCTTGTGTTGTGTTGTGTCTTGTCTTGTTTATTATAACGTCCAGGGCACCATTCTACTCTTGTTCCCTGTTCCCATTCCCTGTTCTCCGATCCCCAGGCTGGCATTCTCTTGAAGGTGTCGTCCACAGAAGGAGAGCACAGAGAAGTTGCTCATTTGATGGGCACAAGGCACTTGGCCCTGGACGGCGGACTGGGACTGGGACGCTGTCAATGTATCTATAAATTAGTATTTTACCATTATAAGTGGGTGGCCTAGGGGAGTCAGGAGATTCTGGCTGTACAATTGAGCTTTTGTATTGGGCCTATTGTTATAGTTTTTGTTGCCTTATCTGACTGGTTGCGGGTCCCTGTGGGGGCCACAGCCAAAGCCTGCGTCTGACACTCGTTTCGTTTCCTTCTCGGCTATAAAGGGTGCCTGTCACAACAATGTGTGCTGTATCTCCTATGTGTGCATCTATGTATTCACGTACGAGTACGAGTACGAGTATGTGGCATTATTCTGGCTTTGTGTCTGCATGACAAGCCACTAAAATTACACGTTATAACTAATTAGCGACTTGTCCACCCACAGAGCCCCCTCAGCATTCAGCTCGGCAGCAATTTATCAACTAATTTATATACAATATGTCCCAATTTTCTTGGTTTTTCTTTTCTGATTAGGGAATTACAATTGTTTAGTCAAGGCGTATAGGAAGATTACAGCGAATGATAAGTGCAATGTACATATACACAGGTCGGAAGGAAATGCCATTCACGGAAGTAATACTAACAGCGTGCAATAATTCTAGCCCTGCCAAATATTAAGACATACAAGAGCTGCTTATTTATTTTCAATGGGCCTGTTTGACTAAGTGATCTTAATGCCCAAATTTTACCATCTAATATCCATACACATTAAAGCCATGGGATATACTCGGACATATATACAACTTTCCAATATGATTGTCACGAACATTAACAGGGATATCCGAGTTCTGCTTTGAAGGCCAGCTAGAACTGTAGTAGAGCATGTACAGTTGGACACATTATTTGTAGTTTATTACTTGTACCACGTCCCCTAACTTTCTACATTAAAACATCGAACAATAAAACCCTGAATTGAAATCCAACAACGAAGAGATCTTATTCGTAACATATTCTCAAAACAGAATTCAACCATAATTTAGCCTAAGCTCTCTTTCACGACCACCCAATCTCTTTGAAATATGCAGACTCCCCAACTGGCTGGAAGTCACATATTATTGTGACGTCTCCCAGCCCTGTGCCCACTCCCTCAATTCAGACATCATATGACACATGTCATTATAACGTTTTACATTAACTTAAAAACATTTGCAATTTCCACACACACACAATGGCTGTACCGGAGCTGGGATAGAAGCTCGGTAGGACTCCAAAAGCTACCCTATGTGCCACTTATGTGTCTCTGTGTATATGTGTGTGTGTGTGTGTGTGTGTGTGTGTGTGGCACGTGTATCTATGTGTACACATCCTGGCCAACGCCCTCAAGAAGGATCGGCGCTGTGCTCGACCGACCCCTACCCGAAATACTCGGAATGATGAAGGCAACGGCAACCCAAAACCACCTGCTGGGGTTAACACAAGCTCGTCTGAATCGAATGGAACCAAAGGCGGCCAACAATGGTGGGAAAAGAGACGGATAGATAGAGGTAGAGGCAGAGGCAGATGCAGATGCAGAGGTATAGAGAGGTAGAGAGAGATGGGCTAAGAGTGAGACAAGAGACAACTGACAACGACATTGTTAGTTGTTGTTATCCTTCTTGCACAGACAAGACAAGTTTTGGCCCCAAGCCCATGTAGGGAATTATGTTTATGTTCGACAGCTTCTCGTGAGTGCACTTCAATTGTTGCCAGAATTTGACAAGAGCATTGAGTGTTCCCTCCTCCCCTTAAGCCAAATGTAACTAATGGATTAACGAGCCCCATTTTGAATGAAATCCCCTTCCAGGTGCAGAGTGGAAGTTGCTTACTGAGGAGGAGAAACGTCCGTTTATCGATGAGGCCAAACGTTTGAGGTAAGTTTGGGATATGCGGAGAAGAGTCCCTCACCATGTCTAAGGATATTCGTTGTTTAGGGCCATGCACATGAAGGAGCATCCGGACTACAAGTACCGCCCGCGACGAAAGCCCAAAGCCCTGAGACGCGACGGTTATCCATATCCGATGCCATATCCATCGGTGCCCGTGGAGGCGTTACGTGCCGGTGAGTAAATTTGGATCACATTTATATGAGAAATCAATTAAGAGCTTAGAGGCTTAGATATCCTATCAAATATTAGGAAAGCTTTCGATTGGATCAAACGAAAACGGCTAAGATATACCTACATATTACACTATGCCGCAGTCATTTTGTACTTTGCACAAGATAGAAAATTAGGTTGTAAGCCTGAATGAATAGATCACTTCCTATACAAAAATACAAAAACCACGATTGCTTATCTCTGCGCTCTTTCATAATTTATACTCCACATCTGCAACGTAGATATCCATTAAAATAGATGGGTTGAAAAGGGAAATGTACGACCTTTAACAGGATTTTTGATTTTTGCCTATAGAGTAGATATACCCGATGATATGGCTACACAAAGTTTGAAGTACTATAACATTTATAATGTTTCTATAACATTTTTATTTTTTACAACATTTTTTGGTATGTTATGGTATGGTGTGGTATGTTTTTATGTTTAGACGTACGAATTGTTTAGAAAATCAACGCCATTTAATAAGACACTATGAAATGCCTTTTTTAATTGATATGTAATTCCAATTTTTCAAAATGTTAAAACAAGCATTGAACATATTGTGTGTTTAAGTCTAAAAATATTCTGAATTCAGCTTCACCTACGAAACACATATCGAAAACCCCATCCTGCCCATCAATATCTTCAACCGACTCATTTCAAAGCAGAATAAATTCTCCTCAATTTACATATGCCACAAGCACCCCTTGAGAATGACCCTTGAAAATTCATCAAGCAAAGCACAAAACTAAGCGAAAATAATAAGCGAGTTTTATGAGCTCTCGACACAAGACAAATGCAAATGTGACACGATATGAGGGGAGCCACCAGTACCAACCAACAGTGCTATGACAAACTATCCCCACACCCCACACCCCACTCCCCAACCACACCACTGTCAAAGCCGCAGCACCACCCAGAGAACCGCGTGGAAACGGGAACCACCCATCTGACTGGCTGACTGACAAACTGTGAAGTCATCATCCTGGCTTAACAACTCATTCGAGTGATGGGTTGTGAGGAGGAGGAAGCAGAAGACCCGGACAGGGAAGAACCATCATGAGCATAAGTTTCCATTCATGATTTTCCATGCTCATGAATGGAGAGTGGGGAGTTGTGGGTGGTGTTCGTAGTTTCTGTTGTTGGTTGGAGGTTTTAAATTAGCATTTGTCACGTTTTTTTGTCTTTCACCCCGTCCTGGCCACCGTCGTAGGCCTCACGATTCGGCGCAAGTTTTCTCGGTCTAAGTTTGTGCCTGATCCTTTCAGCTCAGCTCAGCCCTGTTCTGGGTCTGGATGATTTATGCCCAACGGAAATGATAATAAAAATGGTAGGAAATGCGTAATAAATAAACCGAATTAGTCTATTTAGTCTGTTCGGGCTTCCCCATCAATGCACTCCATCCCTTTATTGGATGGGAGAGGGAAAGGATATGGACTTAGAGACCAGAAAGTTCAACCAACTGTGGAATTACTTAGTTAAACATATGTATGCACTTGTACATATATTATATTATTTTTTGGATATACATATGTATATGCAATATGCGTTCTTATTAAATTAGAGAAAAGGAAGGGAAAGGGAAAGAAAGGGATGTCAGTAAGCGTATAAGGAATGTATTTGAATTTATAATTTTATGAGGATTATTATTGGCTTTAATTGGTTTTGCTTTATTGCTAAATAAAATACTTTAAATGAAGAATTTCAAGAACAAGCAAGATATTTTATGTACGTATGTACATATTCATGTTTAGATAATATCCAATATCCAAACCCAAGAAATCCCACAAAATTATATAGGAGCTTCCGTTTGGTTACAAAACAAAAAAGAGATCCACAACAATGGAGCAAATACCTAATCCGCTATTATAATAATAACAATGATGATGGCATGGCATCCGAAGTCGTCGCTACTTCAAATTTTCAATGAGTGGAAAATACAGATTTCAGATACAGTGAAACTTTGTTGTCTAAGCAAATTTAATTGCTCGTCTTGGCTGGGCCGAACAACTCTTTCAATCAAACCCGTAGCGCCATCAATGAAATAAATTTGGTTGTTTTTTCAATAAGCGGCGCCTGCAATTATCGACTTGGCCATAAAAGGCCAAGAGAGCAGCTGGATGACTACCGTTTAGGGCAATTGATAATGAGTGCCGTCCAGAGAGTATCTATCAGATTGGTGGATACGCAGATCGTACTCTCTCTGTGGCCGCACTCATCTTCCACGTAAAATAGCTGATTCAGCGTACAATTAAATGGCGACCCCGAAAGAAAAAATTTGTATTTAAAAGAAATGAAAGAGTTGGCCGAACAATGGGCGCAAATATTTCGAGTGGCAATTATTTTAAACACACACCAAGGTGAAGTCCAACAGAAACGAGCCGAAGAAGCAGTCCAAGTCTCCAAGAAGCCATTGCACAGTGGCTAAAAGTCAACACAAGACTTCACATAGGAATGCACATTTCAAGAGATTCTTAATTTGAGCATTCAATTAACCCAGGGTAACCCAGGGAGCTGGGTAAAAAATACAAATTAATAAATAGAAAATATGTTTGAAACGATTTTACTCCCCACATTTCATCGCTCATGGCACCACTGTGCCTCCATCCATAGTGATAATTGTTGTAAACTCTCTTTCTTTACTTCCCAAACCGAACCGAACCGAATCGAGCCGGGCTCATCTCATCTCTGGTTGTTTGCTTCACTTGCAGGCATTTCGCCCGGTTACTTCGCTCCCGGTCCCACAGCGGCTGCATATCACCTGGGCAGCCATCTCGGCCAGACATCGACGCCGACCACGACGCAGGTGAGTCTCTCTCTCTCTCTCTCTGTTTACCACCCTCCTTCCCCCCCGTGCCACACCTGTCCCTGGAACGCGGGGCTCTCAAGTGCCAGCACGTCCATCAAAAATGCTGAACGGTAGCGAAGACCAATTACAGATACGAGTATGAGTACGAGTATGTATACATCGATGGATGGAGATGGGGATGGGATGGAGGGAGATAGAGGTTACCCGGCTGCCCTGCTGGGGTTACCTTAATAACATAATTACAAACTCCTACGGCTGACGCCCACTTTAAAAGGCGGAAAACATGCGGTCCGCTGGCCGTGACTAAGCGCAAGCAGGAGGCAGGAGGCAGCAGGCAGCAGGCATCCTGGCCCAATTGAGTTTTCTGACATGTCATGCCAAAGGATTTGGCCACAGCCAGTTGTCATTACATGTTTAGCGGACTTAGCGGACTTCCCCTTCATCGTGATAAACAAGGGCAGGCGGACCTGCAAGGAGCAAAAACAAACAGAGCAGGACAGGTGTGACAGGACTTCTGATCGAGCTGAAATGTCCTCAAAGTGTAACTGTTTCAGCCGGTCCGCTAAAACAGCTGCTAAAACCCGCTAAGAGCTCTACGAATAGCTTCAGCCTAGAGCCTCATTCCTCCTTCAGGTGGTCAGCACCACACCACTCCAGCCCCATCCCCATCCCCAGTCCCAGACCCATCAAAACCCATTAAAACTCATGACTCTCGCTAGCCATTGTCCACTCTGTTCAGGGGCAAGTATGTAATTCTGCGGCAGAAGCCTATTTGACTCCGTGATTGATGTGGCGTTGAAAATGCGATGCGGGTGTTGAAAGCCTGGCATTAACACTAATAATAACACACCTCGCTCCTCGCTCGGCCATAATAATAGACTAAGTTTAAGCCAAACAAAATCTTGATTGAATGATGGAGGATGGCTTGGAGCCCTCCATATCGTATAGGAAAATTTCATAGTGGGCGGTGACCAAACCCCTGACAGGGCAAATTGCTGACAGCATTCCTTCCACTATTGTTCACAGGATTTCACTTTACTGGAGGCGCTCTAGCGGTGGGAGATGAAAGCAATGCCCAACAAATACAAGATGTAAGCTTCCGAATCAAAAATAACTTGGAGCTGGCACTTGGGACCATGGCTTTCCGATCAGCAGGAATGCCGCGCTGAAGGCCAAGTCTTAAAAACGTACGTGAAGCGATCGTGTGTCCAATGGATGGACTATCTTTGAGGGTTTCTGTGCAGCAGTTGCATCTTTTGGGCTTTGGGGCACACAGATCAGCAATAAAAATCATCAATGTAATCAGGAATAGATCGATTACTCGATTATGAGTGCAGGTATTCCCTAGAATGAACTCCCTAGGCTTATATCAATAATAAAACACATGTAGATATATGTTACCCATAGCAGCTAAGGACTTCCTCTCCAATTGCAATCGAATGTTGACACAGCTGACGCAAAGTCCCTGACCAAACACCGAGTGACACATACTGCACACCTGCTCGACAGCACAACCAATCTTACATAACCCACTCAGACATAACCGGGCTCTAAATCAATTAACTGCCGCGCGGATAAGTACCCAGAACCAACAGAGCCGAGACAAACAATGCATATATCCACAGTAACTGGAAGGCATCAAAATATTTACGAATCCACACTAATTCCCAATTGGGTGCAAATCAAATCAAATCAAATTGTAATCCAAAACGCTCTCGGCACACAAACTCGAGCTCCGAGTTGGGGAACGGAACCCTGCGATGACGATGACGATGACGAGGACTATGAGGATGAGGATGGTGAGGATGGTGATGATGATGATGTGTTAACAACATAATTATAGCCCAGAGCAAAGTGTTCTGCAGAAAGGGGAGCGCAGCGCAGCACAACCCCTCGCCAAGAGCATGGCATGGCATGGCATGGCAGCAACCACTCAAAACAAAACGGAAATGAAGCGAAACAACCCTCAGATGTACTTAGTACCCGTTTACACTCCCATTCCATTCCGAATCTCCCATCAGCATCAGCATCAGCATCGGCAAAAACAGCAAGAATAACTAGCAACTGGTGTAGCAATGAAAAACGTATTGCAAATCAAATAAAATTAAATTGAGACGGTTTCGGCTTGCACGGGGGTTTGGGTTTGGGCATGCGTTTGCGTTTGCATGGTGGGGGAGGCTCTGAAGGGGAGGACACGACGCGACGCTGGGCAGTCAGGGGTTGTTGTCGTTGGTCCTTGGCCATTTCCACAATTAGTTGGTCAAATAAAGCCACAAAAGTGTTGAGCAATTTGCACTAATCTGAAGGTTATCGTTATCCCACTCCAAATCTTTGTGGTTAACCCTGGATAAAGTGCAAAAGAGTGCGAATGATTTTGAGTATGCTCAATGGAGTTTCTATAGGAACGCAAGAAGTAACGAATAATTAAGATAGTATGTAGTATAGCGAGGTGGTTCGGAAAGGTGTTTGGCGGGGCATTGTTCACTGATACCCGGAAAAGTTGGAAGCTGTAAAGGTAAACAAGTTGCACAATGGTAGTTTCTCCGGAAATATGTTGGCGGGTACTAGAAATCGAGTGGCCCAAGGACCATCCTGCTGTTCGTGAGCGTGGATTTACCAAAAGTGCTAACTTTGCTTGGAAGTTTCTATTGGAACTAGAAATGCCACATTTATCATTTATTAAATATTTATCGAGTTTTCATCTCATACTAATCTCCCCTCTTCACACTGGACAGGCCACCCTCTCAGGACAGATGGACAAGTTTGCCCTGGAGAGGAGCTCGTATCTGAGCAACGCAATGAGCAATGCCGGCAGCCAGGCGAGTGCCGCTGCCTACAGCGCCTACCTGGACCCCAGTGTGCTGACCAAGGCCTACTTCGACTCCAAGATGTACCAGGATCGGGCAGCCAACTATGCCTTCGACATATCGAAGATCTACGGAGCCCAGCAGCATGCGGCCGCCCATCACCAGCAGCAGCAGCAACAGCAGCATCAGCAGCAGTTGCTAATGGCAGGCGGTGGAGGTGGCGGTGGAGGCGGAGGAGGAGGAGGCAGTGCCAGCTCCCACAACAACAACAGCAGCAGCGGACTGGACGAGCGCGACGCCACGCCCCAGCTAGAAGGTGGCGGCAGCATCGTGGTGGAGGCCAAACCCCATCTGCACTCGCCCAGCGACGTGGGTCTGGACTACGCGCAATACGCCCAGCAGTACGGAGGACAGCTAGCCAGTGCTGCGTCCGTGGGGGCTGGGGGAGTGGGTGGAGTCGGTGTCACGGCATCGGCTGGTGGGGCAGCAGGTGGCGGTGGAGCAGGTGCAGGCGCGGACTTTCGACGGCCTCTGACGGTGATCTTCTGACCACCATCCTCCAATGGCAGCGAGGAGTTGAATTTGTCTATGACTTAGGGAAGATCGAGGAAATATCCGAAAACGGCAAACCGAAAAACGAGAGATTAAAGTTAAACGTAGCCAACATTTACCGTTAAGTCAGTGAAAGGAAAGGAGACAGCTATTAATCAAGAGAGAGAGGGAGAGAGAGAGCGAGAGCGAGAACGAGAGGGAGCTAGTAAAGAAAGAGAAAATAAAAACAAAAAACCAACAACGAGCGGTGCAATTTTTTTTTTTATATTTTAAGCGCGAATCGAAGTGCATAGCATAAATTTAAACTTAATAAATATAAATGTATTTAAATTCTACTTACACACACACCCACACACACACAAAAAACCAACAAACAACACACAAAAATAAATACATCAAAATACAGAAAAATGCAAAGTAAAACAAGAAAACAAAAATATATCAAAAATGCAAAAATAAAAGACGCATTGCCATAAGCAGCGAAATTGTTGGACGATCTGTTTTGGTGGAATGGGGTGTAGGGCTTTCCATTGAATCTTGGATCTTGGGGTGGCGGTGTCGGTGGCCATCCACTTCAATCCATATAATCTTTTAAAGTTTCGAAATCAACCCGTACTCTACGACACTGTCTAAAAATTAATGCTCCATGGTTCTTTTTTAGGATTATCCGTCCTTCTAGAATACTATATGAGATTTTTGTACACCGTACCAAAGAGTAATTCATATAAGAGCCTTTTAACTTAAGTAAAGTGTTTCAGGTATTTCATGCAACCGTGATGTGCTCTTGTGGTCATCTCTTTTAAGCAGAAGGTGGCCTCGCCTGATAAATTATTTAAAAGAATCCAGTTGTAATTAAATGTTACTTAATGAATCAGCAACTATCATACATATAATACAACCATACAACCCATACAAATTTCAAAGAACTCCCACACAACAAGGAGAAAACATTTGTCCTCAATTTCATTTTTAATTAATTGCAGTTCCCGTCCTTTTTTCACTAGTGCTGGGAGAAGCGTCTGCAGGTTAATTGCGGAAAGGTTGTTATTGGTTGAAGAGTGATTTAAGAGGGGTTGGAGAGAGGGGCCACAGAGTGGGCCTAGAGTGCTAAACGCTTCCTAATTAAGGCAACTTCCGGCCAATCAGGTTGACAAAACCCACCAATGCGCACTCTGATTGCTCAAGAAGCCGTATTAACTTAACGGCAACTTAACGCGGCCTCAAGAGCCGAAAGGAATTACCGTCCACTAATTAGTGGGTGCAAAAATGCAAGTGAATTTAATTAATTTTCCGCTCTTTTGAGCCTCGGCATCGGCAATAGGATTAGCGGGAAGGAAAGGCTTAAATTTAACTTCTGCTGCTTAGCCCATATACGCTTGAGTTAAACCCTAATTATGCTTTATTTAAATCATAAAGGGTGTGAACTCGATATTTGTTCATTTTTGCGAAGCTCTAGCATGGCCACCCACCGAGCCACTCGTCGCTACATTCGCGACATCTATCGGGTAAATTTGAAGGCCGTAGTATGAAGTAGCAGAGACATGAACCCCAAATAAAGATAAAATTAATACAAGCTTGCAAAACGCTCCGCTGGGGGCGCCATCGCATCAGGTCACTCTCTTCCATTACTGTACGCTGGGGGCGCAAAATTCATTAACTGTTAGCATACATATGTACATATGTATGTATGAGACGAATATACCCGTTGCTCAAAGAGTATAGGGGTATATACGATTTGTGACGAAAGTGGATTTGTGTAACAACCAGAAGAAAGTGTGTCCAACCCCATATATATTCTTGATCAGCATAGCCAATTCGATATAAATATGTAGTCCTCAGGGACTAGAATAGCAAGAACAACCAAAGTTTGTATCCAGACTCTTGTGACTCCACTGTTACCAATTTGTTTCAAAATTTCGTCCCGCCCCTTTCGTCCCAACAAAGAACGAAAATCTTTGGCATTCTCAATTATGAAAATAAGAGAAAAAACTTCAAAATGTAGAATTAGTACTACTTACTTACATTCAAATCTAGGAATCTATTCTAAGATCGAACGATCTAGCGACCACCTCCTTATAAACCCAAACAACCCATGGCATTATTTACCATGATAGAAACGTGTTTCGAAAACTTTAGCTTGGCTTCTAATATATCACCAAGATCATGCACCAGGGTAATTCTCTCAAGAGAATCAACGCAAAGCATAGAAGGAGCCAACAAGGGGTTAACAAATTTGCACAACATCACGACTGAAAGTTATTGAGATCGGGTTGCAAGCGAGAGTGAAATGAAATGTCCTTACCGGACACACAGCGACAAAGAATGCGTGCGGGAGAGACAAACAGTCCTTGCGATTTGTGGATGTGTAGAGTCGCGGGCCTAGCTGCGACTCGCAACGTTTCCAGCACACTCTTCTAATTTCTAATGTCGATTATGTAGTCGTCTGCAGGATATTTTCGGACAGCCTCAACTTCTGGCACAGGGCGGCAGAACTCTTGCGCCTTTTGGTGCTGGTATTCTGCAAGAGGTATGATATGCTGATCCTGGAGTCCATGAAGGACTCCTGGAACTCTGTTGCTGCTTGTGGCTATCCATGACGGTCATGACATTTCGAAAAGCAGCCCAAGCACTTAGCCCATGTATGTAAGATTGGTTCAGGATTGGGTCAGCTAGCCCATTGAAGAAGAAACAGTTGGTGACGGGGAATAGCAGCTACAGCAGATGAACAGCAGGTAAGCAAAACAGTAGAGAAGCCAGTGGTAATATGAGGAGTATTCTCAGAAATCATCCGAGATCGACCCATGCCGTTTCAATTAATTGCTTGTATACTTTACCAGTATACAGAGATTTCATTTAATCATAAGCATTCAATTAAATAATATCTTACGTAATCAAAAGAACCAACAATCGAATTTCCCATTTTTAGTAATTAGCACCCACAGAAAATTAAATGAAAATGTTCTTCTCGTTAGCTTTTTGACGTTTTCTTTTCTTTCGATTCGTTTGATTCACACATTCCACACTGCAGTGAGTAAAAAAATGCACAACAAATTGAGCGAGAGTGACACCACATACACTCTCTCTCTGTCACAAAAATGACGTACAAAATGACAGGAGTCACTCGACAAATATGCCTTCAGTCAATGAGTCAGCAAATACACAAAGAAGCAGAAAAACTATTTTCATTTCGGCGAGAACAAATTTGAAAACAGGAGCCAGGCCGATTATTGCCATTTACATATTCAATATACATACCAGTCAAAATATTTTTTTGCTCAGTAATATAGTAAGTATTTGGAATATACAATTTTTGAATTACAAATATAAAAAAAAAAACACCCCCCTGCACAGAAAAATCGAGCAACGAAATGAACCACGCCACTTCTTCGTCCTCCGTCGACATCATCCTCGGTGATCTTGTCTTGGAGGACATGGACCGCTTCTGCATGAACGAGCTCTTCTCGGACGTGTCCTTCCTTGTGGGGGATCAGAGCCTGCCGGCGCACTCCGTAATTCTAGCCGCGCGGAGTGAGTACTTCTGTGCCATGCTCTACGGAGGCATGTCCGTGTTAAATGAGCGCCAGATTCGACTGGAATCTGTGCCGCTGGAGGCATTCAAGGTAATCCTCCGCTATCTGTATTCGGGCAAGCTACACATATCCACACTGGACGCCAGCTGTGAAGTGCTCGGTTTGGCCAATATGTATTGCTTGCTGGAAGTCGAGTCGGCCCTAGTTAAACATCTGCTGGAGAATATGACCGTCAGCAACGTGTGGATGATCCTGGATATGGGTCACACCTATAATCTTTCTCAGTTGGCAAACGGGTGCCTGAAATATATCGACAACAATGGAGACCAAATGCTAGAGCACGACTCATTCCAAATGCTCTCGAAGCAATCACTTGAGGAAGTCCTCCGACGGGACACCTTCAAAGTCCGCGAAGTAAAAATCTTTAAGGCGGTATGCAAATGGAATCTGCACAATCCGAACGAGGATATCAAGTCAGTGATGTCGCTCGTGCGGCTTTCGCTTATGTCTGCCGATGAGTTAATACAGGTGGTGCGTCCTTCTAAGATCGTCGAGCCGGAAAAAATAGCCGTCGCCATTGAAAAAGCGCTTCTGCCGAAGAATCAGAATTTGCCCTATCGGTGCACTAATTACCCGGACAAGGATGTGAAATTTTTAAATTCCTCAACGGAAGGGATCTTTATCGATCTGAGTTGGTGGTGGTTGATCAACTGCATGTGTCTTCTACCTGCTAAGCCCTTCGATACTTGGAACTGCGCCATGGAGGTCTCTTGCGACATGACCCACTGGGATCGCGCTGGAACTGGCACATTTCAATTAGCCATACATTGCGAATATATCACCTTCACAACGCGACCTGTTCGCTACATTCGCATGGTGGATACTGAGAGTGGACGTACAGATTTGATCAATTATGTGATGATCCAAGTTAAGCTAAAAAAAAACTAAGCTCCAAATATGTATTACAAATAACACAAAAAAAGGCGAAACAATTAAAAGAAGACTATAGCTATGAAAAATAGATTAAACTTATAATGGGACAAGAAATACTTCTCAAAAATGTATACAGGACATTAACTTGAAATTAAATACCCTTGCATAAACAAAATACAAAATGAGAACAATAATATAACAATAATAGATAAAAAGAATAAAAACAAATGGTGTACTCCCAAGGTCCCTGCTCGGGCGCCATGTAATTTTGCCAATCGAGTTGCGAATTAATTTTCATGTTGTAGAGTAAGGCTTGGGACGTTGGGGAAGTGCGGGCGGACCAACTGGTGTTTGACGAAAAGAAGTTAACCTTTCTTGCTCTACTTTATAGTTTAAACTTTATCGACTATATTTATTACTATAATTAATTGGCGAATATCACTGTAGGGATATGCCTTTCAAATACTGGGTAAAAAACAAAATACAAATAAATAAAAATGGAGAGGGAACGTTGTGATTCGCGGCTTTACATATAAAGGTAAATTGGGTATAAACCGCCCCCCCTTAGTCAGTATGTAGGCAGTATTACCATTTATGTAACCTATACAATATATTTTGTATAGAATTTTAGAATATTTTATCTGTTTCCATTTTTGATCATTTTGGCTACTGTTTTTTATACCTCTACATGACCATTATGTCTCGCTACCCTACCCCAGAGGGCCAAACGGCAACTTAACGCGGCCTCAAGAGCCGAAAGGAATTACCGTCCACTAATTAGTGGGTGCAAAAATGCAAGTGAATTTAATTAATTTTCCGCTGTTTTGAGCCTCGGCATCGGCAATAGGATTAGCGGGAAGGAAAGGCTTAAATTTAACTTCTGCTGCTTAGCCCATATACGCTTGAGTTAAACCCTAATTATGCTTTATTTAAATCATAAAGGGTGTGAACTCTATATTTGTTCATTTTTTGAAGGCCGTAGTATGAAGTAGCAGAGACATGAACCCCAAATAAAGATAAAATTAATACAAGCTTGCAAAACGCTCCGCTGGGGGCGCCATCGCATCAGGTCACTCTCTTCCATTACTGTACGCTGGGGGCGCAAAATTCATTAACTGTTAGCATACATATGTACATATGTATGTATGAGACGAATATACCCGTTGCTCAAAGAGTATAGGGGTATATACGATTTGTGACGAAAGTGGATTTGTGTAACAACCAGAAGAAAGTGTGTCCAACCCCATATATATTCTTGATCAGCATAGCCAATTCGATATAAATATGTAGTCCTCAGGGACTAGAATAGCAAGAACAACCAAAGTTTGTATCCAGACTCTTGTGACTCCACTGTTACCAATTTGTTTCAAAATTTCGTCCCGCCCCTTTCGTCCCAACAAAGAACGAAAATCTTTGGCATTCTCAATTATGAAAATAAGAGAAAAAACTTCAAAATGTAGAATTAGTACTACTTACTTACATTCAAATCTAGGAATCTATTCTAAGATCGAACGATCTAGCGACCACCTCCTTATAAACCCAAACAACCCATGGCATTATTTACCATGGTAGAAACGTGTTTCGAAAACTTTAGCTTGGCTTCTAATATATCACCAAGATCATGCACCAGGGTAATTCTCTCAAGAGAATCAACGCAAAGCATAGAAGGAGCCAACAAGGGGTTAACAAATTTGCACAACATCACGACTGAAAGTTATTGAGATCGGGTTGCAAGCGAGAGTGAAATGAAATGTCCTTACCGGACACACAGCGACAAAGAATGCGTGCGGGAGAGACAAACAGTCCTTGCGATTTGTGGATGTGTAGAGTCGCGGGCCTAGCTGCGACTCGCAACGTTTCCAGCACACTCTTCTAATTTCTAATGTCGATTATGTAGTCGTCTGCAGGATATTTTCGGACAGCCTCAACTTCTGGCACAGGGCGGCAGAACTCTTGCGCCTTTTGGTGCTGGTATTCTGCAAGAGGTATGATATGCTGATCCTGGAGTCCATGAAGGACTCCTGGAACTCTGTTGCTGCTTGTGGCTATCCATGACGGTCATGACATTTCGAAAAGCAGCCCAAGCACTTAGCCCATGTATGTAAGATTGGTTCAGGATTGGGTCAGCTAGCCCATTGAAGAAGAAACAGTTGGTGACGGGGAATAGCAGCTACAGCAGATGAACAGCAGGTAAGCAAAACAGTAGAGAAGCCAGTGGTAATATGAGGAGTATTCTCAGAAATCATCCGAGATCGAGCCATGCCGTTTCAATTAATTGCTTGTATACTTTACCAGTATACAGAGATTTCATTTAATCATAAGCATTCAATTAAATAATATCTTACGTAATCAAAAGAACCAACAATCGAATTTCCCATTTTTAGTAATTAGCACCCACAGAAAATTAAATGAAAATGTTCTTCTCGTTAGCTTTTTGACGTTTTCTTTTCTTTCGATTCGTTTGATTCACACATTCCACACTGCAGTGAGTAAAAAAATGCACAACAAATTGAGCGAGAGTGACACCACATACACTCTCTCTCTGTCACAAAAATGACGTACAAAATGACAGGAGTCACTCGACAAATATGCCTTCAGTCAATGAGTCAGCAAATACACAAAGAAGCAGAAAAACTATTTTCATTTCGGCGAGAACAAATTTGAAAACAGGAGCCAGGCCGATTATTGCCATTTACATATTCAATATACATACCAGTCAAAATATTTTTTTGCTCAGTAATATAGTAAGTATTTGGAATATACAATTTTTGAATTACAAATATAAAAAAAAAAACACCCCCCTGCACAGAAAAATCGAGCAACGAAATGAACCACGCCACTTCTTCGTCCTCCGTCGACATCATCCTCGGTGATCTTGTCTTGGAGGACATGGACCGCTTCTGCATGAACGAGCTCTTCTCGGACGTGTCCTTCCTTGTGGGGGATCAGAGCCTGCCGGCGCACTCCGTAATTCTAGCCGCGCGGAGTGAGTACTTCTGTGCCATGCTCTACGGAGGCATGTCCGTGTTAAATGAGCGCCAGATTCGACTGGAATCTGTGCCGCTGGAGGCATTCAAGGTAATCCTCCGCTATCTGTATTCGGGCAAGCTACACATATCCACACTGGACGCCAGCTGTGAAGTGCTCGGTTTGGCCAATATGTATTGCTTGCTGGAAGTCGAGTCGGCCCTAGTTAAACATCTGCTGGAGAATATGACCGTCAGCAACGTGTGGATGATCCTGGATATGGGTCACACCTATAATCTTTCTCAGTTGGCAAACGGGTGCCTGAAATATATCGACAACAATGGAGACCAAATGCTAGAGCACGACTCATTCCAAATGCTCTCGAAGCAATCACTTGAGGAAGTCCTCCGACGGGACACCTTCAAAGTCCGCGAAGTAAAAATCTTTAAGGCGGTATGCAAATGGAATCTGCACAATCCGAACGAGGATATCAAGTCAGTGATGTCGCTCGTGCGGCTTTCGCTTATGTCTGCCGATGAGTTAATACAGGTGGTGCGTCCTTCTAAGATCGTCGAGCCGGAAAAAATAGCCGTCGCCATTGAAAAAGCGCTTCTGCCGAAGAATCAGAATTTGCCCTATCGGTGCACTAATTACCCGGACAAGGATGTGAAATTTTTAAATTCCTCAACGGAAGGGATCTTTATCGATCTGAGTTGGTGGTGGTTGATCAACTGCATGTGTCTTCTACCTGCTAAGCCCTTCGATACTTGGAACTGCGCCATGGAGGTCTCTTGCGACATGACCCACTGGGATCGCGCTGGAACTGGCACATTTCAATTAGCCATACATTGCGAATATATCACCTTCACAACGCGACCTGTTCGCTACATTCGCATGGTGGATACTGAGAGTGGACGTACAGATTTGATCAATTATGTGATGATCCAAGTTAAGCTAAAAAAAAACTAAGCTCCAAATATGTATTACAAATAACACAAAAAAAGGCGAAACAATTAAAAGAAGACTATAGCTATGAAAAATAGATTAAACTTATAATGGGACAAGAAATACTTCTCAAAAATGTATACAGGACATTAACTTGAAATTAAATACCCTTGCATAAACAAAATACAAAATGAGAACAATAATATAACAATAATAGATAAAAAGAATAAAAACAAATGGTGTACTCCCAAGGTCCCTGCTCGGGCGCCATGTAATTTTGCCAATCGAGTTGCGAATTAATTTTCATGTTGTAGAGTAAGGCTTGGGACGTTGGGGAAGTGCGGGCGGACCAACTGGTGTTTGACGAAAAGAAGTTAACCTTTCTTGCTCTACTTTATAGTTTAAACTTTATCGACTATATTTATTACTATAATTAATTGGCGAATATCACTGTAGGGATATGCCTTTCAAATACTGGGTAAAAAACAAAATACAAATAAATAAAAATGGAGAGGGAACGTTGTGATTCGCGGCTTTACATATAAAGGTAAATTGGGTATAAACCGCCCCCCCTTAGTCAGTATGTAGGCAGTATTACCATTTATGTAACCTATACAATATATTTTGTATAGAATTTTAGAATATTTTATCTGTTTCCATTTTTGATCATTTTGGCTACTGTTTTTTATACCTCTACATGACCATTATGTCTCGCTACCCTACCCCAGAGGGCGCAAACTGCACGAGCAACAGTGTGTGACATAGACAGAGAAAGAGAATGAGTAAGCGCTTGGAAGGCGTTGCGTAGCCATTGCAATTTCATTTTTATTCCCGATACTCAAAGAGTATAGGGGTATATTAGATTTGTAAAAGTGGATGTGTGTAACATTTACAAGAAAGCTTTTCCGACCCCATAAAGTATAGACAATCAATCTGTTCGTTTGTTCTCAGTTCTAGTTCTCAGAGACTATAAGAGCTATAGCAACAAAATGTTGTATCCAGACTTCTGTGATATCACAATTTCAAACGTTCCCGCTCGTTTGCTGGTGAAGGTTTGTGGGTTCGAAGAGTGCTGTGCTGGTCGTCGTTGCAGTCAAAGCGGTCCGATGTCCGTTTACCATGTATAGTTATTGTCTTCCGTTTTGGGTATTGTGCTTTCCGTGGGGTTCAATTTGACTTTATGTAGACGCTTTTCAATGTAAAGTAATAATAGGTTGGTCCTCAGCTGACGACATTTATTCAAGAACACCACACTTGTGGATATTCGGTTAACATAGCGTGCCGCCCTTAAACTGAGAGGAACATCTGGCCTACACCGTGAATGCATGTTAATGGTAAGCAGAGCGCTTTTAAATGAGAGAAGTCAGTACTAGATAGTTTATCCTATGTAGATCATATAAAGAACGAGGGGGAACGTTGTGAGTTGCTGCGGACACCGCAACTCTACAGTTATACCCGATACTAAGTCAGTATGGCTTTCCTCCGGCAGACGCCGCTAATATTAAACGACACGACAAAGAGTGCGTGCGAGAGAGACAGAAAATCAGTCTGAGCGTGACGTCGGGCGCTGCGTAGCCACTGCAAATTGATTTGTTCCTTTTGGCTACAAAAATTATCTGATCTGATCCAGATTCAGCAATCTGATAGATATGGTCGTTATCTATGATTCTCCGTTTTTAGTTTTTCTCGAATCTGCAATATTGTGGATGCAACAGATTTTCGTCCTTTGTGTGGGCGGAAGGGGGTGGGGCGAAATTTTGAGATACACGTTTTATAGTGAGATCTAAGAGAAGTGCGGATTCCAAATTTGGTTACTCTAGCGTTAATAGTCTTTGAGATTTGTGAATATCCCCAGATTTGCATCCTTTGCGGGGGCGGAAGGGGGTGTGGCGAAATTTTGAAACAAACTCGTCTCGGTCTGATATATTAGGAGTGTGGATACCAAATTTGGTTGCTCTAGCTTTTATAGTCTCTGAGATCTAGGCGCTAATGTTTTACTCTAAGCAAAGCCGCCTATGCTACCTGTGTGTTAGAGAGAGACAGGGCGAGAAAAAATGAAATTGTTTTCTTGATGCTGGCTATAATAGTAATACGATCCAATTCAGATTCTGCAGTCTAAAAGATATGGTCATTCTCTACGATTCTGCGTTTTTTGTTTTCTCGTATCTTTAAAATTGTGGATGCCACAGATTTTCGCCCTTTGTGGGGGTGGAAGTGGGCGGGGCAAAGTTTTGAAATATTTTTGTAGCAGTGACATATCACAGAAGTCTGGATCCAAAACATCGTTGCTCTAGCTCTTATAGTCTTTGAGCATTAGGCGCTGAAGGGGACGGACAGACGGACAGACGGACAGACGGACGGACGGACAGACGGACAGACAGACATGGCTCAATCGACTCGGCTATTGATGCTGATCAAGAATATATATACTTTATGGGGTCGGAAACGATTCCTTCTGGACGTTACACACATCCACTTTTACCACAAATCTAATATACCCCAATACTCATTTTGAGTATCGGGTATAAAAATATAAATATCCCAGCTAAATCGACAGAATATTAAATTTGGGCAAACTCTTAAACTTACCATTCGCTCTAACAATTAGTTGCAACAAATTCAATCTGCAAGCAATTCACAAAGCAATAGATTTCAGTTTAGGTCCATATAATAAGAGCACGACACCTGCAATAGGTCTTCAAGAACCATCAGGTTTTCCATTTAAAAAAAGCCAAACTCTCTATCTGCAACAAAATCCCTTACCAACCATAGCAACCATGCTACTACACCCTACTAACGAGAAACATAATTACTAAATATTACAGAAAAATATCAAAGGCAACGAAAAGAGAGATCAAACTGCCAAGCACACCTATAAATCGCCTCTCATTTATACCCCATTATATATATATATATATATATTTATACTAATAACAACAAATACATAACTTACTGCTTTAGGATGCACCTCAATAAAGAACACAAAAAACTAAAAGAAAAACTTCCTTCCTTTCTGTATCCCAAAAACAATATCCCCAGAAGACATCATTTACTAATAAACAGAATCCGGCTGGGACACACTTAACTAACAAATGCCCATTACTTAGACAAAATCCTAATCAGCTGCTGTCCTTTCCGCAATAGACCAAACACTAGCTTTATAAAATACTGTCTATCTTTCTCCCATAACAGATCTTCCACCCTTGCCAATTATAATCCAGTGCCTCTTCTTGCAAACTCCACTATTCCCATTCATAATCTTATATTAGATTTCTCAAGCATAGAAAAAATATATATATGGATATTAAATAACAGTAATAAAATTTAAAAATGCAAAATAAATTGTCTGTAAATATGCCATGTAAATTAAAAAAAAAAAAAAAAAAAAAAAACACCAATCGCTTCAGCTCGAAGTAGTAGTGCCCAAATAACTACTGTTAAAGAAATCCCAAGTTAGCTCATAGTTATACACTTTAATTAGCTCCATATAAATAAATTAAATAAATTTTTGCATACACATACATGTTTCCTTTGAATGACTGACACTTTGATAATATTTAAAATCAGCCAGTCTCTGTTTTTCACATGCACAAAAGTTTCCGATTTACTTTTAAATAAATATAAATTTATATAAATTGGGACTCCCGTTTTCACATTCCGCAGATTTATTCGTTTTCAAAACGAAATTAAAATGACGAAATTAAAAGTAAACGGCTCTTTATACATCGAAACGAACATTAAATGCAAAAAGAAAAAATAGATGACTTATTAACATAACATAAACTTGACACCTATATCAGGGTAATTTAATTTTTGCTTTCTTTATAAATAATTTTATGGCCAGGGCAACAACAACAACACTTTAAAACGAAAATTAAACGTTTTGGCTGAAAAAGTAATCCGCAAAAGTAAGTGAAAAACAGAGCCGCCTGAATGTCCTTAATTGTTGAAAAGGTGCTTTGAGTTTCTGATTTTAGAAGACAAGAAACACTTCAATAAATTGCATTGGGCTTTGGCAACACCTGGGCAAGCCCTAGTGCACAGTTCTTTTCTTGTCCTTATCTAACCAGTTTCCCTTTTGGATGCCCAACAAATATTCAGAGTTCCTCCTTTGAAACAGCATCCTCATCCAGCCGCCTCATTTAAAAGACAAATCATGATTAGCGTGGTCACATTTCCCATTTTTGGCCAACAAAAATCGAAAGAGCTAGATACATATATATGGAGTAAGAGAGAGAATGAGGCAAACCCACAGCAGTATACAAAAATTTTCTGCCACGTTGCCGTTGAAATCCTGCCATAAATTATTGCAACTAAACGCAGCCAAACAATGCTCCATGCTTCAGAGTCCCCGAAAATACCCAAAATTATGATGTTAGAGAGAGGATGAGAGTAGGGGGCCGGTGACTGCTCTGCCAACTCGGGATCCCGGTGCGGCGCCTGCTCCTGCTGCAGCTCTTCATTGTCCTGGGAGATGGTCGTATAATAGGGCCAGCCATAATGTCCATTAAGTGAGAACAAATGAAGGAATGTCCGGCTCCAGCTACGACTATGGACCCGAGTAAGAGCTCCTCTGTCAGCAGACGATAAGGAACGCCGACTGCAGCATCTCTTTCGGACACCAGTTGCTCGCTCTGCCACAGTCTCTGCTCCTGCTCCTGTATCTGCCTCTATTCCGACTCCTGCTCCAGCTCTAGCGCAGTGCTTCTTCTATTCTCCTTTGTTTTGGCCCTGTCTGGGATGGCTTTTGGCCAATAAAATGCATTCCATTCGCATGCAAAACAAAAACGATAAAAAGCACGTCGCCATTGAGAACGCTTCTAAGCAGCCGCCCGCCCCCCAAGGTCCACGACACACACCCATCCCCCGCCCAAGGGGACCGAGCATTGTCTCCGCCATTGGTCCAAAGGCAACTTCAGAGAACAGGCATCGACATGCGCGCAGACACAAGGGTGGAGCGGGGTCCAGGTGGGGGGCTCCGAGCGCTGCCATTTTTATTGTTGCGCGGCTTTGACTGAGCGGGAGGGGAAGAAATGCGGCTGTAGCCGCCAAATGGGTTTCCTATTTAACATTCGTTCTGTTGAATGTTGAATGGAGTGGCGGGTGCCGGGGGAAACTATTTGACGACCAGAGACTCTCCAAAAAGAGCGACTCTCCAAAAAGAGCGACGCCTGCGCAGAAGGCACTCAATGAAAGGGCGCCAAAAATATATTTTTGTTTGAAAGGCGCCACGAAGACAGAAAGCCAATGTCAGATCAGTTAGAACCCAATTATTTATAATTAGAAAAAATTTTAAAATAATTTACAGAAACTCCAATTGGAAGATGGTAACTATTTATGTACATAAAGACCTACACCACAGTACCCTCTAGTCTATTTACATTACAAAATAAATAGATGTAAGCCTGCACAAGTTCTCAGTACTCGGCAAGGGAGCTTCCTAAACTCAACAATTGAATCGCCGAAACCCCGATTATAAAGAGGGTCATTTATAAGGAGTTCCATCGGCAAGTCCCTTCGAAGGTGTCTCTTCTTAGGGCAATTTATGGTTCCAATTATACAGATACATATATCGGTTATATTGGAACAACAACAACTCATTTTGGAATTTCCTGTGCAATTTGTGAGACATACAAGGAAGGCAATGAACCTCCCCCCAGTCAACAATGAGGGACAACCTAACGCGAACATCGACTGCAGCTAAGGTTTGTGGCAAACAAAAATATATGTATCTGGGACCCAATCGATCGATTGCGGGAGCAAACATGCCTCAGCACTGATAGTGCAAGAACCAAGACATTTTTCGGCTCGAAGATAATTGTGTGGAAGTGCAGATACTATTACCTATCACCTGGCAGGGTAAGAGAAGCAAGAGCAGCAGCACCACATAGGCAAACACATAAACCAAACCGAATGAAATCCTAGAGAACTGGGAAGACGACTGCAAGATACCTCGTACTCATGGAAAACGCGATCAGAATGCAGATACACAACAGCCCAATGTATGTATAGGAACTCGTTTTCATCATTCTAGCTATAGTGGATAGTGGATAGTGGATACCAAATCGCAGTATTTACATATCAGAATGAAGGGGTATTCTACATTTACTGGGAACATCTTCTGATCAAAAACAATTCGAGTATACCCCTACGTTTCCTTAGTACCTGGTGTCGTAAGACAATTGTCAGCAAGCACAAGATACAGATACAATATGCAGATACAACGATACAAAGCGTGGTGGCAGCGAACTGTTTATCACTTAGCCGCCACGTTGACGCGTCTCCTTTTTGTTGGTGTCCTCGCGAATGTGTAAAAAACTCTACAAAGCACTTTCTATCTCGCTCTCTCTCTCTCTCTCTACCACTCTCCAGATTACTCTACTCTCTCTCTCTTTCTCTTTCTAACGCACCCACACAGGTTAGCTCGCTCTCTTTCCCTCACCCACGCACTCGGTCCTGTCTTTGGCCAACCGAACATGCAACCACTACAAACGCACTCACACTCGCACACATAAGCACACACACCCCTCTGCCACGGCCGCTGCCTCTTGTGCTTCTTCTTCCCCGTCGTTTTTTGTCGTGTTTGTTTGCCGTTTTTGTCGCAAGTTTTCGAATACCCATAGAATGTGTTTTCAAATCTAAATTGTCGCGCACTCGACACGGACGCGCAGCGCTTCCTCGCTCGAAACGGTAAACTGTTCACTTTAACGGCCACCGACTCCGACTCGGCTTAAATCCGGCACGGCCATTAATGCAGTGTTCAAGTATCTCAAATCGAACTTAAAATATTTTTATTGAGTACGATATTTTTTTTTATCAGTGTTTGTGTTTGAAAAAAATGATAAACGATAATCTTTGGCAACGATCAAATCTGAAATAAATTAGCGAATGGAACACTCGTTGAACTTATCCTAAGCCCTGACTTATCATAAACTTTATCCTGAACCCAAGACGAGAATCAAATTTCAGTAGAGGTAAGTAAATCAAATCTTAACTTTAAACTGCACTGTCATTAAACAGATGGAGGAACTTTTGGACTTACTCTTTTAAACTCGCGATTTATATTTGAGGTCCCTCTCTTTTTAACTTTAAAAATGTAATATTTTTGCTAAAAATAGCTACAAAAATATAGCTATGAAGCTCGGATATTACGCATCTAATCATACATGATTATACAGCTTATGCTGGCATCTTTATACTAGTTGTAAGAACTTTGCGATCTAAACCTTTAAACTCGAGAGTTATGCAAAAAGTCCCTGTTTTTACCCTAAAAATGTCATATTTATGTTTGAATTAGCTTAGGACGTATTAGTCTTTATAGCCTCGAAGTGCAGATATCATATGTATTAAGCATATCATAAATATAATATATATATCATATCATATATAATTGTACAGCTAATGCTGGAATTGGATTTCCCTTCTGAATTGCAAGACCAAATGCAATATCCAATTAATTTAACTGATTTAAAAAATGGCTTCAAAATGTTATATTAACGATAGAAATAGATTTAAACATGTTAGTTTTTATAGATTTAAAGAGCAGATATCATGCCGCTAAAATATACGATTATAAGCTAACGCTGGACTTATATTCCACTCTGAGTTGCAACTTCAAATGTAATATTCAATTGATTTAACTGATTTAAGAAACGATCAAACTTTTCCAGTCGGTGATGTTCTTATGTTAGAAGTTTGGATAATAAAACAAAACCAATACTTTAGCATTTTTGAAAAAAGCCGCAATAGATTTCGAACGATAGTCTGAAAACTTATATTGAACTGTGATATTGAAGTGTGTACATTGATTACTCATTGACCAAACCCGTTTTCAAGCGATTCTTTAGCAACCCTCTTTGGACATTTCGGATTTCCTTGAAAGATACTCCATTCTGCTGAATTTTGAGCGAACTCTTTACATAGGCATTAGAATTAGTCCCCAGCAGTCCCCCCTGGGAAGGTTCAAGCAAATGACTCATGCGAAGAGTGCTAAGGAACAGACAACCCCCTAGCTAACAAGGGATATCTATTGAATACCATTTCCGTTGGCATTGCAGAGCGCCCACCTGAAAATTACCACCTGCACGCACAAGCACACGCATCCCCACCGAATCATGACGAGCATCTCGACGCTACTACACCGGAGCCACAGCAACGGGTACACGAGCAGTGGGAGCAGCAATCACAGCCACAGCAGTAGCCTCTCACCGCAGTTGCCCGGCCTGGCCCTGGGCCTGGGCATGGGAATGGGAATGGGAGTGGGAGTGGGCCTGGGAGCCACCACAGCGCCAACACCACCACCGCCGCCAACTGACCTCGCCATGCCCCCAGCAGCACCAGCTCCCGCTCCAGCACCGAAGCTGCAGCATCATCAGCAACATCATCATAGCCACTCCAATTCCCACTCCACAGCCACTTCCAATTCCCATTCAAATTCTGGATCCCATCACAGCAGTCATGACCACATTAAGCGACCAATGAACGCTTTCATGGTCTGGTCGCGGGGACAGCGTCGCAAAATGGCCCAGGACAATCCCAAAATGCACAATTCCGAAATATCCAAGCGCCTCGGTGCCGAGTGGAAATTGCTCACCGAAGGACAGAAGCGTCCATTCATCGACGAGGCAAAACGATTGCGGTAAGTACATTTCTCTGGGGGGAAGAGGTGTATGGGAGGTGGTAGTGGGAGTCCGAGTGCGACTGCGACTGCGAGGGCGAGGGCGAGGGCGAGTGGAGCTTCTGGCTGGGTTTCAGTTACAGTTTTTCCCAGTTCTCTCTGTCTGGCCACAAAATTTGATCGATTAGCTAAGACAAAGGCTCACTATTGTGAGAGTCTCCCCAGCATTGGGGAGCTCCAGAGCCCCGGATTGTGCTCGCTCTGCTTAGTCAGAATTCCATTGGCACTGGGCATATCTTGGGCAAACATTTCATTTCAAATTGTCACACAAAAGCGAGACACAACGCATGAAATGCTTCAATCATTTTGCATTTCTATTCACCCTTTTTGTTCACCCTCTTAAAGCGTACCCTATCCTACCACCTAAAAGTAAAATGTTTAGGAGGCTCATATATTTATTGGCTTTACATTGCGATCTATAATAATATTTATGCTCCTATTATTAAGGATTGGAGGGACCTTTGAGCTTAAAGCGCTGATTTTTTACCAGAGTAGAATTTTTGAAACAATCAACATCACTTCAAGATTTACCGTCCCGGAAAATACAACCAAGATATCAGGCGACAGTCAAAATTGTGTGGACAATGTATAGTTTATCCCCAAAAATTTAATCTATTCAAATTAAATTTCCATAAAACTTGTTTCGTATGAATTTCGTTACAAAACTATTCAATAATGTTCTATTTACCTTAAAAAACTTAATTGAGGTACCAAAAATACAAAAATAATATTTATTATTGGCTTCATACTTTTTAAAAAAAATTGGTTACCTTTCTTATGCCCTGCACTATCGATGATATTGGGTTCGTGACACTGACATGCCCTAATGTTTGCACTGTCATAATCCTTTTATTGATTGGATTTGACTGCCAAAACGGTAATGTAAAATGTATATTTTGTGGCGACAGTTATAAATGAGCAGAGCTCGTTTGAAGGGGCTTAAACTAATGGCCATTCGGGGTTTTCGAGGGAACAAATTGAAAGAAAAGAAGCAAGAATGTTGTTCAAATATTTGCCAATGCGCGGTGATAAGGAATACAAAATTTTTTTGGGTAGAAGATAACGCAAGGAGGAATAACTGACCAATTAGGGTAGTGGAGGAGAAAAGAAAACTAAATAAAGGAACGGAGAGCGAAATCGAAAGTACAACAAGAAGAAAAGAACACACCTTTTATCGGATTTTATCGTTTTGTCCAACAAATGTCAACAATTGCGCATTGTTGCAGCTGGAACTGAGACTGGGACTGGGAATAATAATGATAATGGGAAAGGTAGAGGGAATCCGTCGGGGTCTTCGCTAAATTGAGATAAGCAGACAAGAAAAGTCATACATACATTTGTACGAGCATATATACTTTTATGGAAGGGTTCCATTCGGTTGGGAGTTTATGGCCAGAGAGAGAAAAAGAGAGAGAGAGAACTCCGCCAGACATTTGGTTGACTTAGTGATATCATCGAAGTTTAAATCGTTCGATCTGTTGATCAATGCTCCAACGTTTACTCAATTTACAGCGCCCTGCACATGAAAGAACATCCCGACTACAAGTATCGACCACGTCGCAAGCCCAAGACGCTCAACAAGTCGCCAGTGCCGGGTGGTGCTAATGGTGGTGCCGCTTCTGGTGGTTCCAGTAATAACAGCAATGGCGGAGCCCCTGGAGGATCGTCCGCGCCTAAGGACATACAGTCACAGCTATCGCCGCTGGGCCAGACGTTGCCCCATCTGCATGGACATGGACACCACCACCATCACCACCACCTCACGCACCCGCACCACCCCCACCACCAGCACCCCCATCCGCACCACGTCCAGCTGGCGGCCGCCGCAGCAGCCAACACCCTGAGCGCCAAGTACGGCTTTGGGTCCCCCTTAGAGCTCTCCCTGCCCCGCCTGCCCAACGCCTTTCCCGGCCTCGCCCACTACCCGTTGGACCCGACCCTGGCCCTCGATCTGCAGGCCCGTCTTCAGGCCATGTACGCCGGCAGCCTCTACCAGCCGTGGCGCTACCTGCCATTGATCAGTCCCGAGACGCCTCCCTCCCCGCCCAGCAGCAGCGGCACTGGCATCTCATCCTACGGCTGCGTGAAGTCGGCAAAATCCTCGCCAGTCGCGGGAGTGGTTCCTCCCAACGTGGCCACCACACCGCCGAACATCATTTGACCGACTCCTCTGCGCTTCGGCGCCGGCACCGCCGCAGAGCACGCGGTGTAGACCTGGAAAAGATGATACTGAGTAGATGGACGCTTACGGTCCCAGCACATTCACCCACTGGTCATGTGGTCACCCAGGACCCCACAAAACTGAAGATAATTGTTAGATCCTAGTGCTAGTTGAATCCTTGTGAGTTTTGTGTGTGCTTTGCTTTGAGTTTTGCCTCTCGTTTTACGTTCCGATTCTGTTGCGGGTCACATTTGATGGAGGTAGCAGGAAAGAAGCCTATTAAATCTTTAGAATTGAATAAAAATAATTTATTTGTTATTATGGAATATTTTATGATCGTTAATTTTGTAACTGCTCTGCAAAGTGTTTTTTAGTGGATACATGTATCGAAATTCAACTAAATAATACCATATTGAATTCCTTCGAAACGGTTTTACTTTTGCAAAACTTCAGTTGTTTACTATTTGAAAGTATTTTTTTTTAATTTTTTCAGGGTTTCAAACAAATTCCGAGATATGTACCTTTTTTCAACCAGATCAGACCGTTCCAAATCGAATTAATCGAATTAGTGATTATTTGGAGCTCATAGAATGTGTAAAATATACCCATTGATGGCATAATAACCAAATGTATTTGGAGCAAAACTGAAGATAATGTGACTCCTCAAAATCATTTGAATCATTTTCATTTATTATTATCTGACCTTTCGAAATATCAGCAAATTAATATACATTACTTTAAAGAATCTTTGAATTGATTTTTAGGTTTTAGTGCTTTAATTTGGTTGAGGCGCCATAGAATGCCCACAATTTTTTTGGATAATATATATACATGTATTAAAAAAAACTACATTTTTTTGTGATAAAAATAAAACGAGTAAAACCCTAATTAAAAAACAAAACTGTAAGAAAATAAACGATTTTCAAATGGTTAACAAACACACACACGCTCGTATCAAGCAGTTCCCTGATTGACGATTTCATTTCCACTTTTACCCCGTAGCTCTTCAGAATGAACGAAACTGAACGCCGACGAGAACGAGGACGAATATGCAATCTGTCAAGAGTCAGTGGCAATCGCCTGTGGGCGACACAGGGGTCTGAATAATAACGACAATGTTTGGTGATGCGTTGATTATTAGTTTAAATTTCCGCAGATCGCAGCGGGGGCTGGATCGGGTTGTCTGCCGTGTCGGGTGGGTGTGGACAGTGTTTCGGGATGGTTCACAGTCTGTTAATGGGATTCCCGTACGCCCACTTGTTAATGCGACCAACTGTGAATCCTTCGGCGATGAGGCGTGTCAATAAATGCGCTCAGGCACAAAAACAATTGACACTTTATTCGGTGGCACAACAAAACAAAGAAAGCAACCACCACTAGGACGGGGTGGCTGTTTCAGTGTGGGTGGAGTGGTTCGGAATGGTTGGGTCGGTTGGATGGGCTGGATGGGTAGCAGGGAATCGCGACAACATCGTAACCAGCTGAAAAGCCGCACATAAAAGTCACCGAAATGCCACGCTGCAACGCAACCAAACTGCTGATAAGGAGGACCAAAGAAGAAGACGACCTCGTCCAACCCAAAAACCCAACTCGGGCAGGTCCTCATCCCCTCTACCCCTCCCTGGCAGGCAAAAGTCGTGCAATGATTGTCTGCGCCCACAGACACAGGGCAGGGACAGAGAGAGACAGAGATAGAGAGACAGAGACAGATAGAGAGAGGCAGAGACAGAGGCAGAGAGAGAAAGTGGGAGAAAGAGGGTAGTGTCTGTCTGCCTTTTGTTGCCCGCAAGGTCGTTTTTATAGTGTCCTGGTCCTAGTCACAGTCCTCGATAGAGCTGGAATACGCATTTAATGTTTGCATTCTGACCTCTCACCTCCGCAGACAATGAACCAGGCAGCCGGGCTGCCAGGCTGCCAGGCAGCAGAGCAGCTTCCACACTGTACTGTCGAAAACACTGTGGAATGCTACAACAATATTTACCCAATGAAATGGGGAGTACTTGTACGCATAGCAACCCCCAAGAGAGCAATGAATGAAATCGTTCAACTGTGGGAACGTACATACAGCATATTGAGACGTTTCCGAGATCATGCCGAAATAATTGAAGCTAATTGAATAATAAAATACTTATTCGTTTGATAGACCCCAAAAAGTAGACAACATTTTCACTGAAATATTATTAGAAATAAAGTCTAGAGTGACTTCGATATTGAAACGGTAACATAAATGAGTTAATCGAACCCAGAATTATATCTCATTAAATTTCATCGATTCCAACTAGTCTCAAAACTACTTATCTTGCACTTTTCCTCCGAAACTTTCGCGCGATTGTCTTCTGCAGCAATTATCAAAATTTCACGGGTCAACTGCTCGGTTGGTCCCGGACCACCCTCCTTGGCAAAGTCAATAGCTATCAAAACTAACAGACACGCGTAGACACGTGCGACCAGACCCCCCTACCTTATTCCACCCATCGTCAAACCACACCATACCACATCCCAGCAATCACTTGTTTCAAGACAAACAAGAAAGACAGGCGAATTGCTGCAGGAGCCGAAGTTATATATACCCTTCCAGATACACACTCTTACCCCGACTGCAGTAAGAAAAATTCAGCGCAATGTTGCACAGAAACGGACAGACCGGTGGAATATTAAAGACGTATAAGAATACTATAGCCCTGCATGAATCCACAGTATATTTACAGATATATTCATGCCTCTTCAAGGGTTTCGATCATTACGAATACTGCCTTCATTGAGATTCAGTTCGAGCGAGTCACTTAAAACCGAGTGCAAGCACTGCGGATGAAAGTCAGTAAATTTCGTTAACAGTCTCTGTAATGACTCAAAACATACATATGTACGATGGAGTTTGTGTGCGCTATTGCCAATTATTGCGTTACTTGCTTATTCTTTCTGCCAGAAAATTAAATGGAGAGTGAGCGCGAACAAAAATTCGAAATTTTCAGATCTAACACAGTAAAAATGACGATGATGGGTTCAGTCCGTTTCTATGCGATGTAATGAGAAAGCTGAGAGGCTGTTCATGCAGGGCTCTAATATATGCCTATATACATTTACGTATGATACGTATGATTTAATGATACGTTGCACAGGTATGGAAAAAATCTGAATATCCGCTGGAAGGGTATAAGACAAACATTTGCGGGAGAGAAGTGGATAGTAGAGCGAGAAACGTGTGAAATAAAAGTTTGTTTGATTTGCTTTGTATAGAGGAGGGGTCTGTGGGAGGGGAAGGACAGGCAGGGCAGGCAGCGCTGGTGACAAAAGTAGCAATGAGCCAGGCAGGGTATTCCCCGTTCCCCGAACCTTCCTTTCCGCTCCTTTCCTTTTCCTGTCACTACTCGAGGCGGGGAATTTTTTGTTTTATTTGGAAGGATGCTGGCCGCTCCTTCTCCACCTCCAGCTCTATCACCCACTCCAGCACTCGAACACTCGAACAACCTCCGCCTCCCCCTCCGTTGCTATTTCTCTCGTGGCACACTCACATCCGCTCTGATAAAAAGAAATATTTTCTTTTGGCTTTCGACTTTTCTTTTTCCCCCAATGCTTCATTATTACTATATTTATATTTATTTGCTGTACTTTTTCTTTCTTTGGCAAGGTTTCCCTCTCATCTCATCTCATCTCATTTCGATTCGTTTCTTTTGGTTTCGTTTTAGTTCATTTCATTCTGCTGACTGCTCTGCTGTTTAAGGTGGCCCTGAGAGGCCGAGAACCATTACGCAAAGGATATTGTGGGGCCATGAATCAATTGGGCAATGTCCACAGAAAAATAAATATGCCCGGAAATATGTTGAAGCGCCAAACCGATGACATTCCATTTGCATTTTCTTCTTTTGGGGTGGAGCTGTGAAAGGCATCCAAGGCCCCAAGGCATCCAACATAATCGCTTGTAATAAATTTTAATTTTTTAAGCATTTGTAAGCAGTTTTATCAACCCAACAAAGGACGACAAAATATTTTTTAATGTCGAAAAAAGCAAAATAGCGAAAAAGCGAAAAAAAGCAAAAAGGATATAAGATTAAGACGCCCGGGCCAAGTTAAGACATAAAAAAAAACAACGTCAGGCAAATTAGCGACCCAGTGACGGGGGATGAAGACCGGGGAGGAGTCTGCCGGCCTGCCTGCGGTTTATCACGCCCACAGTGCGAACGTCGAACGGATATCCGACGCATGGAAGACAAACAAAAAAGGCATTAAATCGCATTTAAGTCAAAGCGCCCGAGCAGCGACAAAGCCAAAATCCGAAAACCGAAGTGAAGCCAGAAACCATCCACCACCTTGAGTTGGCTGCGGCTCTGACTCCGGCTCCGGCTCCGGCTCCTGCTCCGGGTCTGTCTCTGGCTGTGCCTGGGAGAACAAGGACAACTGGCACGTCTTGGGTGCTGACAATCCACTTGAGACAAGGATATGTCGTCGAGCTTATCACGTTGGGCTTGCTCTGTGTTGGGGGTTGATGAAAGCCCTCTTTAAATCCATGGGATAATCGCAAGGGGAGGGGATAGATAGAGACAACCAATTGGATATTCATTTCGATGGGTTATTCGAAGAACAGCTTTCGAATAAGTACTCGATTATCACACAAAGAAAGTTTCATTCATGGACTATAGAGTGTTGAATCATAGGTTTTCGCCAAGGCCAACTTCCACTGTGTGTTCAAAGCGTGAACTCTAATGCGATAAGAGCTCTGTACACAATTTAATAGCTCAAACACCTAAAAGATTACTTTAATCGCTTGTTTCCAAGCCAACTTGAAACAAATTTACATATATGTACATATGTATGTACAGGTGTGTGTATGTAGATGCACTCTTTTGGAACTGGGATTAAGGGGATTAAATATTCAATGTGTATGTAGGAGTATCGATTGATCCCGAGCAGCACGAATAAATACCGACAGGAAGGAACTCAAAAGAGCCCGAAAACGACTCCAAAAAATCATGAAACAGAGTGTGGTTTTTATCGCCGAAGCGAATAAAATTGCATATTGAAATAATGCAAATTGTTGCACAGTTGATGGCATTACCATGCACAGAAAGAGGATTCCTGGACTGGACCCCGAGATTCCAACGAGTGTCCAAGACCAGGAGCAATTAAAATGAGCACCAGCTGACGGTCCGGCCTCATAAATGGTGGAGCGGAACAATGACGGATGGTTTTTTTTCCAGAGCTTACACAAGCGATACAAAAAAATAGGGACCCATACCCGCTCCGACGAGACTGCAACGCCGGCGCGCCCGGACCGGACGAGCGGGCAGCACAAAGGAGCAATTAATGCGAAATTGTAGCTGCATAATTGCTGAACATGCAGCAGGGGGGGTGGGGTGGAGGGACGGCCGCGTTATAAAGAAGCAATTACTGCCGCACAAATGCGCTTGGCATGCACAAAAGTGGCAAGTCGAAAAAAGTGCAAAGCGTATACGTAAAGTGCAGCTAGGGCAAATCAAAGGCGCCTTTTACTGGCCATTTGCTGTCCGAGATGAATGCCGAACGGCAGGACAGGGCCGGTGCTGGCAAACAATTGCAATTACATTAGAAAAGGCACAGCAGTTGCAGAGTCAGAATCAGAAGCAGGAGCAGTCGCAGTGGAAGTAGCAGCAGCAGCAACAGCAGCAGCAGCAGCAACAATGACATCAGTTAGGACAAGCCACGGCCACCCACGTAGCGCGCTCGGCTTCCGTTGCATGCCAGGCACGTTGCAAAATTGTCGCAACGCAAAGAGTCACAGAAAAAAACGGGCCATAAAAATGCTCGCCGCACACAAAAGCCAGGGCCAAACGAATTGCCAATTTAAATGTGAATAGAAAATTGCAATGACGTAGCGCCAGCACCCACCAGCACCCGCCATCGCCCTTTCGTCGGGAGCCATAGAGGTCTGTCATCGCCATCCTTTTATGCATCTTTTCACAATCGCCAATCACTCACTCGCGCAAACAATGGCGCTGCCACATGCCACCCAGTCAGTACCCAGGCGCCCGGGCGCCCAACCGAAACTTGACTCAATGTCGAACACGGCCACAGCAAAAGCAAAAATTGCACTCGAAGACTGTGTACATTAGCATCACCATGTGCACCATGAGCACCATGAGCACCATGAGCATTTGTTGTATAACCAAGAGCACATGCTCGCGCTTTAAGCAGTTCGATCACACATAATAAACTTCAATGAAGAGCGCACAGAACTGTAAGGGATCCATTGCCGCTCTCAAGCACTTAGCAAAAGGGTATCAAACCCATGCGAGTGTATACAAAGAAATACCAAGGCAAAGAAATAAGTCTAGCTTATAAATAAATACAAATGTTTCTAAACAAAACTGACTCAACATACGTACATACAATTAGCGAAAACATGCAGAAAATTAATTTTGAGCGGCATTACCAGTAAAATAGGTCGTTTGAATGATTCATTCATTCTATGCTTATCACTTTATACATATATAAATACCTACTAATTCTTATCAGCTTTTGGACAAATTATTCCATTCTTGGGCTATTTTTGGGCCGTTCTGAGAACTTGGTAAAGGTACGAAAAGGTACCTGAAACTAAGCGATTCCTACTGCAGTTGCGATAGCTTAAAGTTCGATGTTCGATTTGGCAGTATTCAAATTGAAATTGAATTGTTCGCAAACACGGACAGCCTGCAAGGGTCAGAGATCATGTTGGGACTGGGAGGGCAACAAACCAATTAAGATAGATCTGCGATCATGTGACCCACAGCAAACCACAGGCCGCCACAGCAAACAACAGCCATATCGAGCCCGAGACTAGGTCTCAGACTGAGTCTCAGTTTCCAGTACAATCTGTGCATGGGTGACCTTATGCCTTACAAAAAACAACAAAATTTTAATTGCATAATGAACGTGCGGATTTCACAGCTTCTGGACCGGACTGATAAACATATTTTCGCCCCGCGAAAGGCATTCAACCCAACCGAAAGTCCAGCGATAGGCCTATGGATGCACTGCCGGTAGATAGGAATTTTGGGTATAAAAGAGGCACCGAATTCCGATGGAGTATGCAGTCACCTTCTGGTCTGTGTTTTAGCATCGTGCCAAGTGCCAAGCCTACAGAAGTGAACAACACTCGTAATCCAGAGACCAATCTGAGAAGCCAGCAAGATGAACAAAATCCTGCTACTGATGGCCTGTGCGGTCACTCTGGTCGCCGCTGGACGTATTGCTGTGAATCCAGGCACGGCTCAGGGTATAGGTAACGTCTGATTCCGCTGAGTCCTCCCCAGATTCCACTCTCCTTCCTTTCACATCCATTTGCTTTACAGGACGCATGTCTCTTGGGGATGTGCAACGTCAAAGGTTTATCCTGGATATTGTGCAGAACATCCATGAGCCACTGCAGAATGATGAACTCATCCGACTGGATCAGGGTTTGATTGTGGAACCTCAGCGTTACCGCGGCGGTATTGATGGAGAGATGCAGCACGTTATTGACTTGGATCGCCAGCGGCGTCTCCTGGACGAGCATCAGATCTGCTCGGTTGTCCGCGTGGAGGACGTGCAGCAGCTTCGTGGCATTTATCGCCTGCTGGTCAGGGCCGTGGACTTCGAGACTCTGCAGCGCAATGTCGTCTACCTACGGAGGAACATCAATCCCGTCCTGCTGATTAATGCCTTGGTTCGAGCCATACGCGATCGCGAGGACACCCAGTCCCTGATCGTGCCCGCTGTCCAAGAGCTGCTGCCCGAACTGTACCTGGATCCCCAGGTTATTGAGCGTGTTCAGCGCATTCAACTGGAGCAGACCCAGCGCCCCACACTCATCGATGTCGTCGGCTTGGGTCAGCATCCCATGAATCCCATGATGAACATTTTCAATCCATTGCGGCAAATGCGTATGCAGATGGCGTTGGCTAGGCAGCAAGCACAAAAGTCGCGTCTGTCCTTGCTTGGAAAGAACCGTGTGGTGATCCCCATTGAGGGACAGGAGCAGGGCCAAGGCATTTCCCTCCTGACCGACGATATCGGCCTGCGCAACTTTGTCCAGAACCTGATTCAGGAATTGGCCCTTGTAGAGGGTGAGTCGCAAGAGGTTCCGCAGCAACGCATTCCCCAAGAGTTGGAACAGGATCAAGATATGGATATCAATACTGGACGATTGCTCTATGTGAACCGTCGTCGCCTCCAGCAACAGCAGCAGGAAGAGGATCAGGATCAGCAGGAGAACATCTATGGCAGCGAGAGGGCGCGCTTTATGCGTGTTCTGCGTCGTGACAACAACGATGATGATGATGAGGACGATGATGAAGACGTGATTAAGATGGGTCGTGTGCCTCTGCACCGTGTAATCGGGCAGCGAAACATTAACTTGGGTGGCCGCAACGATTTGCCCACTGTGAATGCTAACAGCGATCGCCTCTTGCACGTCAACCGCCGCCGAATGAACAGCATCCAGCAGGAACAAGTGCAGCAGTCAGGAGGTCAGCGTTTGCCAGGATTGATGCGCGGTAGCCGGTACAGCGAAGGACGTCGAGTAGTTGAAGAGCAGGATCAGGATCAGGATCAGATCCAACATCGGTATGGAAATCAGGTGGAAAGCTATGCAGATCAACTGGAGAGCGTCAGCCGCGACGATGAGCGTCTGGTGCACATCAATCGTCGTCGCCTCAACCATGCCGGCGTCAGCCAGCAGCAGAAAATGGTCCCCCGTCGTGTGGCCTCCATCGGTGAGGTACGTCAAGTGCTCGATCGGCCCATCCAAGATGAGGACATCCTGAAGCTGATACGCAGCGATCATCGTCTGTCCATCATGAGTGACGACGAGATCTTGGCCATGCTGCAGCGAAACCGTGAGAAGCGTCTACATAATTTGACGGACAACGACGTCGATGACGAGCAGTTGCAAGGTTTGAATGAAGAGGAGAAGCTGGAGCAGCGCGTCAGACAGGGCGAACGCTTCCGCCGAAGCCTCACCAGCCATCGCCAGGAGCAGCAGGGTCAGGACTCCCGTCGGAGCGAGATTCTTCTGCACAATCTGCGCCAGTTGGTGGCTCGCCTGAACCAGGAGAGCATTGGGCAGGGGCAGACCATTGATAAAATGAATGTGTGGCTCAACAATCCACACCAGACCACATCCGACCGGTATGCCCTTCGCTTGAACCAGATCCGCATCGATTCCCTGCGCAATCGTCAGCTTTTGGAGCAGATCAACCAAATCAAACAGCACATGCAGCAGGCCATTGACCAGCTCAACATTCACTCGATCCGCGGTCAGTTCCAGGAGCAGCGCCAAGTGGAAGCTCTCATTGCTGATGTCCTGTTGGGCCACCTCGGCCAAGTCGGCATCCTGCGAATTGTGCGTGAGTTGATCCAGGAAAACAGCCAGCAAATCGATCGCTCTGGCCTGGGTATTCGCCTCAGCGATCCTCTGATCCGGTACACACTGCGCCGGATTGTCAACATCGTGGATGATCTGCGCGAGCAGCTCTTGGATGGGTACAGGAGGGACCAGCTGGGCATGCACGGTGTGTCCATCAATGATGTGCGCGTTGACAAGCTGCGCACCCGCATCGAGGAAGTCGACATGGACCTGACGAACCTGATTGGACAGCAGCAGCAGCAGCAAGGTCGACAAATACAGCAGCAGCAGATTATCGTGGGCCGACAGCGCCGCCTGAACAACAAGCCCTTCCTCATCGACATGGACATCAGCTCGGAGCGAGCCCAGGATGTCATCATTCGTGTGTTCTTGGGTCCCAGCCTAGACTCCCAGGGTCGTGAGGCAACCTTGGACGAGCGCCGACGTGATTTCCTCCTGCTGGACGTCATCAACGTGGAGCTGCAGTCGGGCACCAATCGCATACAGCATCGTTCTATCGACATTCCGTGGACCAGCCGAGATGTCACGCCCCTCAGTGAGATCTATCGCCGTGTGATGATGCACCTGCGTGGTCAGCAGGAGTTGGATATCCAGGAGTTGGTCGGCGAGAATGGTCGTTTCCCACAGCGTCTTCTCCTGCCCCGTGGCCGCCCTGAGGGCCTGCCCATGCAGCTCCTTATGATTGTCTCCCCAGTTCTGGAACAGCAGGAAAGGAGGATCATTCCCAGCATCAGCTTGGGCATTGGCTCTGCCTCGCTGCAGGACGTCCGTCCCCTCGGCTACCCCCTGGATCGTCCCATCACTAACGAGCAGGAGCTGCTCCAGCTGCCGAATGTCCACCTGCAGGATGTGGTTATTGTCCAGGAGAACTAAGCTTGAACGGATTACCAACCGACCGACCGACCACCCGCTCTGTACCCCACTTGGAAGCCCACGAAACGAACCTTAGCTTTTAGTTAAACGAACCTAAATCAATTTACTGTAGCAACAATTTTTTTTTTGTATAATCTTGTAATCGTTGTACATTTATAACTATATTAACTCTGAGTAAAATCTTTGCAATCGATGCAAAAAAGCATTAAAACTTCATGTGTTCCTAATCAAACCAATCAAAAGAGCAGGGCAAAACCATCAACTAAAAGACCCAACGATGTGGTTCACTCTACTTTTTTTATTTTGGGCACTATAAAAATCCAAAGAAGTTTGCCATGCCTTAAAGGAAGGCTTTTTGTCTCAAAATTAGAAGCCGTTATTTAATTTAATTAATAATTGAGTTATGAATATATAGCATTAAAGGCCAATAGAATTTCCCACACAAGCCGTAAATACTTATCAGATACTTTTCGGTCAAGTTCCAACTAACCATCACATTCCATTCTTGGCCTGTAGATATTTAAGCTGCCACAGAACTCTGTCCGCAAGAGTATTAGAAGCAACGGTGCCCGAAAGCAGCCTTTCACATCGTATCTGTTTGGAATTCAGTTTCTTTAATAGTCCTCAAAGTAGTTGTATGTATCATCGTTTTATCCTCCTCATACTCGTACTCTTTTCACGTACACTTGACTGGCTTTTCTAATTTCGGAAAACAATTTCAATGCAAATTGCATGTCCGTCGGGGCTGGTAGGGATTAAAGGCAGTCCCCACGCCCCCAAACAATGGCCGCCCACAAAACGTATCGATGTGGGGCTGGCCAGACAATGCAGCTACAAAATGGCTAGAAGGCAGTCAGCCAGCCCATCCTGGCACTATAATAGACTTTTCTTATTCTTGCCACACAACTCAATTTGCAACAACGACAGAGATCCCATCCTATCACATTGAATCCCGTTCCCCCTCACCTGTGCATATCTGCCATGGCGCAGACGCCCAGCGAAGCGTCAATTGCCAAATTAATTGGCCGTAAAAAATTGAAAATGAAAATATAATCACACTTTCCGTTGTCGAGCTCACGTTGTCACTGGCTGGCAACAGCTCCACACGGAGCTGTCAGCCCTTAACCCTCTGTTTGTGCGAGTGCCAGGCTATAGAAACGTTTTTCTCATCAGGGCAGACCCTGGATGCAGACCGAAGCGGTTAGCCAACCAAGGAAAGGCAGACGTATTTTGCTGGAGGCGGTCAAACGTTGCATTTTTCCTGCTCCCAATCCCCCCGTTCGGATGGGATATACCCTATGGAACGTAGCGGGCATGCTGCTATGGCACATTGAAAGCTCAGTGATGGTAATAATAGGTATATAATAATATATAGAAACCAGCTGATCCGGCGAACCATTTGTCACATTTGTGAACTATTTATGTTACTTCCAACGATGTCAGAAGGTTGAATGGAATGTACGAATGGTCTACAGAACAGGCCTAAATGTGTATTCGTGCCGATGAGCAAACCATTTAATGGTTCTGTTTCTGGTGTCTCAATTTCAGGTAGTTGCACTTCTCCTTATGCGCAACACATATCATCTGACTAATGTTTGAATTTAAGCGCATGACATTTTTATCCATGGCACCAATCAGCACTTTTGGATGAGCGGAATGTTCAATATTCAATAATTTACATACGATTAATGTAAGGATGGAATGCGTCTTACCTAGCTCTTTTTTACTCCGGATCTTACAATTTGTGGCGATTTTCTCTGATCCATTTCGATAGGTTTATATTTTCCTTTGCAATTAGGGTACCGCACAGTCGATCACGTTCTCCATGCCGTCATTTGCTGTTGTTCCTTTTAAGGGCACAGAATGTGGCACGAAGCATAATGGAAAAATGTTCGCACTCGACCTGACACTGTTCCCGACTCCTGCCGCCTCAATGCACTTTCATTATCTTCGAGTGGTTTGTCGTTCGTTTTATTTCACTTTACGTTGTAGCTGCCTCTTTTTTGTATTCTGTATTTTGCAATTTTGAATTTTATTTTATTTTCTCTCGTTTTTTTGTGTCTGATGAGCTGATTAGAGCCCAGAACAAGTATGGGATTACACGGGCTATTAGCCAGCCGCTTAATGCAAAAATAATTATGTCTTGTTAATCAGTCTGAGGCTGGGTCTCGGGGCCAAAGTGTATTTAACCCATAAGTTGATCGCCCCGCCCCAAGAAACCCTTTCCTCCAAGGAAACCGCATTGAAGGTAGCTGAAAACCAAAAACTTTTGTGATTAGCGAGCTCTCCTCGCCCGGCACTGATAGCGTCTTCAGAGGAACAGGAGCTGAAGCAGGAGCAGCTGAGGCGGAAATACTCCCATAATTTATGTTGTGCCTTGCCACTCTGGCAACGGAAATGCCGTCGCGTAGTTTTGCCGCGCCTACACTCTATCCCCCTCTCCCTCTCCCCATCCCCATCCCCATCCCCATCTCCATTCCGGCTGAAATGCCATAGCATACCATTCAGCGATGGGAGACGCTGCAAAAGTTTTTGGCACGCAAATTAGCGGCCACGTTTGTTTCGCTCTGGGAAGTGGGGAGACGGGCGGACTCGAACCATTCCTGGAAGCAAAACTTTTTCAGTTATGAATATAAAGTTTATTTATTAAGCAAACAAGTTGGCAGCCTTATCTCTACGGTGTTCGTCGAGGCTCCTTTCTCTCCTTTCCCTGTCTGTCAGTTCTTTTTTGTGGCTGGCAAACAATTTCGCAGTTAGTTGAGCTCTGCTCTCCAGTGGAAACTGCAAATATTCGGTTGAACGGTGAGGGGCATTAACTGAAGGACTCTTCCGGCAAGTTTGGATGAATGGAACGTGAAGGATTTTGTGCCATTTGCTGATAATTTGGGCAACACCAAAGAAGGCGAACAAGAACGACAAATGGAGATGGAATAGAACAAGACATTAAATAAGTAAGACTTAAGATTTTTCAATTTTTTTTGGGTGTAAATCTTTCAACAACCAACGCTACGATTTCATAGATGGGGCTATCAAAATTATTGGTTTATTGACCGATAGAAGCATAGAAATTCCATTATTGTCGTTGTATTGTCATTCGGCATGGTCTTGAGAAGATACGTTACACGACTATGTGGCTCATTTAGCTATATCTTAAACCGTCTGAAATGCAGGGTTTTTTCGTTTTAATCATCAAAGAATGCGAACAAATCTTTGCAAATTAAAAAGAAATCATGAAAGTAAATGCTGCCCAAAATCCTTTGTTGCATATCAAAACATTTGGATAGCTGTCTAAGGGGAACCCCATGTGGATGTGGGCCAAATCAAAGCAAAAGGGTTTGTCCCTTGGCCACCTTTTCTTCTGGGTAGACGTGTGGAAAATATTGGACGGAAAGGAGGCGTGAGCTGCCTGCCAAATCAAGTCAGGGAGAATGAGAATCCTTGCTTCTATACGCAAGACATCCCCCACCCGGGTATTCAAAACTGTACAATAAATATTTTTACATGAACAGAACGGGGACTGGGACAGGAACTTGGGAATGGGGCTATCAAGTTGAGCAGAAAACTTCTCGCTATTCATGCAGATGTACACAAAAAATTGCTAACAAACGGAAATGTGATATACGCGAGGCAACCGAAACACACACAAAGGCTAATGGAGGATGGTAGACGGGTAGGGGGATGGGGATTGGAAGAGGGAGCGGGAGCGGGAGGTCCTGCCAATTGCTTCTATGAAATGTATTCAGAACATCTCCATTTATATATAGGTGAGATCTTGTATTCTTGTCGCTCTCTCGCTCGTCTATTCAATTTGTTGTGAATTAAAAAGGAGGAGGAAAAAAGGAAAACCTGGCTAAAGAAAATACATTCATGCATTGCATTGTCAAAAGGATTTTCGTCTCTTCTTCAGCTATTGTATGATTGGAAGACGCACTTTCCCGCACTCCCCCAGCACTCCCCGACTCGACTCTGACACGCTTTGGCGCTTCGTCTGATAAGAAGAGAGAAAGAAGGGAAAGGAGTTCTTACTGGAGGCTTTGCTTCGAGTGGGATTAAAAAATCCTTATATACAGAAGCGGAAAACATTTTAATACCCACAAAGTCTAGGATAGCAAGGGTATGCATAGATTAAGCGAACAGGTGTTATATGTAGGGGAGACTCAAGTGGAATCCTTACCACAAAGGCAGACATTATTTCTTTCGTTCTCTTTATTGGAATACCAAAGTGTTTTGTATGGCTACCAAATACTCGTAATTTTACAACAATTTTTACAGCATAATTCAGATAATATGTACGGTATATGCACTTACAAATAAGGAATAAGGACCAAGCAATTCAAGTGGTATTCCTATAGGTTTATCTATAACTGTGGGAAAATTTCTGATGGAAATACCCTTCACCAAAATAAACTTAAGATCAAAAATCTCAATAATAACTTAGAATATACTCGTATTTGATATTACTGATTCAATGATATTAATGATTCAATTTGAAGAGCGATCCAATTAAAACAGATCATTATAGGGTATCCACGAGTAGTACTTCATCACCGACAATACCCACGATACCTACGCACCTGTCATAGCTAGGTGGCTGGCAGATCCGGCTACATTCTGAGGGGTATCCTCTGAGAGTGTTGGGAGATTACGGAAACAGGAAGGGACCCTGCCCTGACACAGGTGAAAAGCATGGTGTTCCCGCATCGACTTGTCAGATCCTGCTGGCAAACTAATAGTTTACGAAGAATATTTTCAATTACTGTTGCTGTCACAGCAAAATCAATCAACTAGCAGCCACAGACACGAAAGCCATTTAATTTCTATCCCCACAAACAGCCCTCTCGGAGCTCATCGCCTTCCGTTTGGTGGGATATATTTTAAACGCAAATTGATTTTGTGGCCACAGATTGCAGCGGTAAATGCATTTTAGCCTGCATTTCTATTAAGGTTTTTCCGTATATTTTTATTTTTTTTTTTTCAGCTCCCTCGCACTCTGATTTTGTCAACTAATGAAGTGTGAAAATGTGGGAATATGCGTATAATTTCTGCTGCGTTCGCTCAATGCATTGCAATTAGAATACTCTTGTGGGCGAGGAGTATGTGTGTGTTGGCTGACGTGGGAGTGCTGGTGTTTAGGAATCAGAGCAGGGAGACGAGACGCTGCAAAGTATGCTATAAAAGTGGGATTTCGCCCGAATTGGTTGCCGCTTATTT